ACAGTAGCCATAGAATTAACCACCAAATCAGACGACTACAAACCCTTCTGCTTCTCCTTTTATTATCTTTATAGGTTTCGGGCAAGATTAGGGTTTGCACCTTCTCTTACAGAGAAGGCGAGCTATGCACAATTCCCACCTCAACGGCGACAACAACGCTAGCGGTAATCCTATCTTCCAAAGAAGAACACCTCGAGCAACGCAAGATCAAGAAGATGCACCCGCGAAGATGCAAATTTGAGACCAGAATTCTCAAACAGAGATCGAAAACCCTAAAGAAGGCGAGAAGCAAGCAGAATCAAAACCCACGCAGAAGAGGACAGCTTGGGAATCTCCTCATTGCGCGACGGAACCCCACGAAATAAACATTGGCGATCTGATCCCCGGTCCGCGATCGAAGATTCCATAGTTGAGAGAACCGGATCGCAATTGCCTTGGCGAGAGGATCAAAGCGAGACAAGTAGACAGAGCAGAGGACGAACAGAAAACAGAAGCCAATCCGAGCGGAGAACGACAGCGCAGGCAGAAGAAGCAGGGTGGGAGGGGATTCGAGCTTACCTCACCGCAAGCTCCGACCAGCGGGAGCCACCGCCTGGATTCGACGACGAAGGCGCCTCAGCCAGCGGTGAACGTATCTCCAATTACTTTCCCCCTCTTCTCCTCGCTTCCCTCTCTTCCTCCTCTCCTCCTCTTCTTCTTATTTCCTCTACCGCGCGTTGAATTGGGATGAGATAGAGCGGAAAGAGTACCCTTTTCTGTTTCCGTCCTCGTCGACTCACCTCTCGCCATCGGCGATCTCTCTCTCTCTCTGTCTCTTTTTGTTTCGTTGATTAGTTCCAGGTTTATTACCCGCCATGTACTTGACTTATGATTGGAGACAGCAAAGGAGTCGCGTGGGTCCTACCAGAAACCATGGCGGGTGCGTGGTTCGTAGAGGCGATCAGTTTTGTGGGCTGACTTGGGACTAATCTCGAAGCAATGCGGTACGATGTGGTGGCGGGAGGATCTATGCTTCCGATTGGGGGAGCAGCCACGCCTGTGCTAGTTTGACCTTTTACGTGGAAGTCAACGGGGATTGGTTCTTGCGTTTAGTCCAAAGACCGACGTCGTATGATTGGATGTGAACTTAGATCGAGTAAATTTGGACGGCGAATGGTGGCGGCGTGAAGTGTAATAAGCCAAGAGAGAGAGAGAGAGAGGTGACATGGGAATTTGACATGAGACGGCTGTAGAGTTTGAACTTATACGTTAAAAGTCAACGGGGATTGATTCTTGGGTTTGACTTGGGTTTAGTCCAAAGACCGATGTCATATGATTGGGTGTGAACTTGATCGAGTACATTCGGACGGCGAATGGTGGCGGAGTGAAGCGTAATAAGCCAAGAGGGAGAGAGGTGATGTGGGAATTTGACCTCACATGGTCAAAGTCAACGGATGAGGATTTTGACTTCCGCGAAATGCGTAACAAGCTGTTTCATTGTCAGCTACTTCACACCAAAGAAAGATATCCAATAAAAGTCTCGCCTCAAACCATCCATCAATATTTACATATTTTTTTAACACAAAATTCTTTATAATTATTCTATTTGTCAATATATACTCAAAAGCAAGTCTCACCCAAAAAGATTTGGAATTTTTCTTCAAAAATTCTCGAAGTTTCTATTTAATGCATTCGTAAATTATTTATATATATAATATTATTGACTTGACCTTTCATCAAACACTTGAATGGATCAGCTCATAAGATATAAAAAAATATAACTATTATAGTATTTTTGTTGAGATAAAAAAATAGTGTTAGATTATTTAAAAATATTATAATAAATATATTTTTTAATGGTATATCTTATAGATCGATCCGTAGTATATGGGTGGAAATTAGTATAGAGTCAAGTAGGAGGTATAACAAATATAAAGGGCTTAAGAGATACAAAATGTGAAGACTTCTCTCGAAAAAAATCTAAAAAGATGGAGTAGGTTTTTTTTTATGAAATCACTTGAAAGTAATAAGGAAAATATGGTTAATAATCATGATAGGCAAAGGAAAAAAAGAAAGAAAATAGTAATAATACTAATAATAATGCATGCCAAAAAAAAAAGATTCATCTTATTTAATATTTAAGTATATAACATTGTCACACCGGTAAAGAAAATGAAAAGTAATTATAATTTTGACGATGCAAACAATTATATTGAATTATAAAATGAGGAGATTGAGATCTTCCTCTATAATCTAATAAGAACGTCATTGATTTGATTTCAACTAAAATATAACATATAAATAATTTATTACATACAGGTTTGGAATCATGAACTAATTCATACATATAATTATGGTGTATTTCTTAAGTAAATAATTCACTTAAAAGGGAAAAATATATCCAATGCTATATATGTAAAGTCATGTAGACAAAAATGTTGTGACCTTCACAGAGTATAAAATTGCATAACTTCCACTAAAAAGAGTTGAATGCTATGTGTTCAAAGTCTCTTCCAGAATCTGCATTCAGTCTTATGATGACTGCTGAATGGAATGATGATTTTGAGGTGAACAAGTGTCTGATTGCTCTAAAGTGAGACTGCCTGAGGTTGATTCATCACATCTGAACTAATGACTGGTTGATTCCTTAGTGTCTGTGTTAGATGTCAGCAGACTGCCATTGCTGCAGCCTGCATGCTCACCTAGTCAAACCTTCATGACTTGATTGTTAATCTGAACAAGCTCCATCAAAAGGTACTGCCTCATCTGTGCAAGAACATGAAAGATCAATTGCCAGTTGCATCAGTTTCTATCTGATGTATTTTTTTCATTCTCTCAATCATGCAAGTCAATTAGCTCAGTGGGGTTTTTTAGATTACATAACAATTTAGTCCAGAGAAAGCAACAAATTTATGTACAGTGATGGATGCTACTACTGATGTGCTGGTGGAGTTCCTTCACAATGACAGATTCAGCAACCAGTAGTATATATGTCATGCAGAGGTTTGCTATTGTTCCTGTATACTTTGTCATCTCTACTAAACTTTCTCCTGGTGGACACATTCTATTTCTCTGATTGTGTTGCAATGGGGCTAAATATTGCAGCATGCAACCCAAAATTAATGAGTGATTATTCCTTTTTCTTTTCCATAAAAAAGGATTTTATTGAGTGTAAGAATGCATTTTTGAGTCATAATCGGAATTGAATCACTTGAGGAAAAAAATTATGTATGGAAAGAAATCCAATGGAAATTGAGGTTTAATTGTCATATAAATACTTTATATATCTCAATATCTTGAAGAGCGAGACAAAGTATATATATAAAAAAAGAATACCTCGATTATTGTTAGAGTTTTCTTCAATAATGAGATAGAGAGGATGACGAAATTTTTTTTTTAATGATTTACACGATAAGATACACAAAGAATTTCATACTTTGGATTTTATTGATATCATATAATAAATAAATTTGAGTTTTATATAGGTAGGGATTACCAAATCATATAAATCATATTATTGATTTATGATTTTTTTTTCTTTGTATCAAGATTTCTCCCCCTCCCTAATAAAACAATTAGTCATTTATATGAATGGTTGATTACCTCCAATAATCCTTACCCTCTATTAAAGTTGGCTGAGAGGGAAGAAAGGTAAAGAAAGTTCAATTTAGCTTTGTGTTATTGTTGGGAAAGCAAAGAAGATATGATTAGCTGATACCACAAAAGCTGAGCACAAGAAGAGAGATTACCAGTGACTGAAACCTTGTCTCTTTACCAAAGTAGACCAGCTTCCTTGGGTTCCTCATTCTTTGGCAAAAGCCATGCCACTGTCCTCTAATCCTCATTGATTCAATAAGAAAAAGCCTGTGTCACTCAATAACTTTGAGAATTATGAAATATTTTAGTTCAAGATTTTGATTCATACCGAGTAAGGTTAGTTAGTTTATTACGATCCAAAAAATAATAATCTCTTCAAATATTAGAGAAGATAAAAATAAATGAAAGTAAGAAAAGGGTGAAAACTCTAGGCATAGAGGCTGTGATGTTCTTGAAAAGATTTTAAGAGTAAATGGATGTGATTGTTAGATCCACTTAAAAATATTGGTCTAACTTGATAATTCCAAGTCATAATTGGATATTTAAATCGAATAACACATGTAAATATATTATTATCGATATATTCGATCAAACGTACAACTCAATCGACACTCTATTTTTAATAAAAATATGAGTGAAATATTTTTTTTAATTTTATCCTTTGTCGATCTAATTTATTATTTATTTCTTATTGCTAACTTTAAATTTATAAATTATATGGTAAAATTATTAATTTAAATACATAGTATTTAAATCATCCATAATAATTGGAGCTTCAATGTCATTTAATAATATATATATATATATATATATATATATATATATATATATATGAAATAAATAAAAGAGTTACTAATTTTGTAGGAATTATATTTTCGCCTAACAGAATCAACGCCCATGTATTCTCCTCCGCGAGACAACACACCGTCGGTCAAAGACAACACGACACGTCGGTCTTCCTCGTGTCGGAGTCTGACAGTTGGCGCCTTACTCGTGATAATATAAATGCGACAAGCGTCTAATCTATCGTGCTTACCAAATTACCGGAAACCCCTACAGCCAATCTCTAATTTACCAAGCTCTCACCCACTACCTTTACAACGCCAGCGCGAGACCAAGTGTAGATGGTGGCATAATTGGTATTTACTGCAACTCTAAGTCCATTATCCGCCGAAGCGGCCTTGCAGCTTTAGTTTTCGAAACCCGATGTATCCATGGATTAATTATTATGTACTCACTAAGTAGTTACACTGGTGCTACCTCTCTTGTGATTGGTGTGGGATTAATTGAATTGTCTAGTAATGAAACGGTGAGGAACGGGTACAAGGGTGATGGGTGGAATGATCTTAAGATTCGGCGACAGTGGTCTCTCCTTTGGTCGGCACGCAGCAGAAAAGCGAAGGAAGAAAAAGAAAAGCCTCATAGACCGTTTGAAAGCTCGAACGCCTTCTTTGCTACACGAATGGTGACTGGGTTCTGCCAGTCCAATGCCTCATCTTGCCCTTCTCCTCTCCCCCTGAAACCCTAACACCACAAGTCGCTCCTCCATTACTTGCCCTTCTCTTCCTCCGCCATGGCCTCCGCGCTGGTGCGAGAGGCCCCGCCGCCTCCGGTGATCGGCAAGGTCGGGAGGTACACAGTGTTCATCACCCCTCCGCGCACCCCGAAACCTTCCGAGGCTCTTGAACCCCAGAGCGCCAGCCTTGGAAAGGTGGCTCCTTTCCCGGAGAAAGCTACCTATTCGCCGTCCCCGAAGCTCCCCGAGACTCCCAGGTCCCAGAGCGCCAGCCCTGGAAAAGTCACCCCGTTGCCGGAGAAGTCTGTCCCTTCGCTGTTCACGGTGCCGGCATCAATGCCCCCGGTGCAGGTCCCCCCGCTGCAGTTCGATAAGCCGGCGACCAAGTCGTCCGGGTCCGTGTTCGGATTCTTCTGGGACGCCGTCGCTAAAGTCCAAGATGGTACCTTCTTGTTGAGATTTTAGGTTTTATTTGGTTGTTTTCCGGGAGTTTCTTCGAATGAGGGGTTCTGAAAGTTTGGTGCTTTCATGGTTTTCATTTCTAGTGCATTCAAGCTTCGATGAGCGCTTGGCGGATTGGTTTGGATTGGACCAGTCGAAGTATCAGTGGGCGTTGAACGATTACTACGAGAATAATGGAAAGGTTAGCGCCCTTTTCCTGTGGTCTACAGGTTCCTGGGTTTTATTATTATTTTTATTATTACTTTTACTTCAAGTAGATGACTCTCTGCTTTATTTTTCATTCATCTAGTTTAATATATGGCCCCCTGTTGGGTGTTTAGATCTATGGGAATGTTCAGGTTTGGATGTGAAGAACAACATTTTACTTTATAGACCTTCTCAAATGTCAGATACCTTCAGGAATTGTTGGATCTATAGTTATCTTTAACTTGTCATGTTGCATTTTGTTAACTTTTTTTAGGTTAGTTTATAATACTTCAGGAATTGTTGGATCTATACTTATCTTTAACTTGTCATGTTGCATTTTGTTAACTTTTTGAGGTTAGGTTATAATATTGATGCTGGCAGGAATTTCAGTAGCTAGTAATAAAATTTTTAGATGCTAGTTTGTCCTGTTTCAAGTTACTCTTTTCTTATGTTTCTAGTCTGTGTTTGAAGAGGTGGAGAGAGATGTGGGTTGCCGGGCAGCCGGGATGGATGTTTTGACTTTAGTAGTTCTAAGAATTCTTTATAGAGAGAATTAGGTACAGATGGACATATAATTTGGTATGCTTATGAATGTTTAAGTGGAGACAAATTTGTTATCACAAGTATTTCTAAGCACTGTATTTATTTTTAGAAAAAAGAACAGGCCGGTTTTAATAGTAGGCAAGTTTGACTGTTTCACACTGCATTTTCTGAGACTTTGTGTTTTGCTTGTCATGTTGATTTGCTTTTGGCTGATTTAGAATCACGAGGCAGGAAAAGCTAGGGACAGGCATAGATTTACTGTGCTTTTGCATGGTAAACAAAGCACAGCTGAAGTTAGTACTTTGGTATTAGATCTTATTGGCTATCTGATTTAAACATTGAGTGTTTTAGAGTGATAGAAACTTACGGTGGCTTTGTCATCTTAGAAGGCAATCTGAGAGAGAAATCCTTGTTTGTGACACAAGACGACAATATTATTAGGTTCCTGATATATTAGATGGACACCTCAAGATATAAGATGACCTTAATAAAGGCCTTGGCATAACGAAGAGGTTTTGTTTTACATGTCTTAATTCAAAACGGCTCATAGCTGGACTTAGTGCACATGCTTTAGTGCCACAAATTCAGTGATTGATGCTTGCCCTCTTTTTCATATGTCTTAATTTCTTCAACCTTCTTCATACTCTGTAGCAAATATTATCTTATATAATATTTAAACAAATTACAAAAGATAGTCAAAATGCCTGCTCTTTGTGTTTCTTTGCTTTTGTTCGCCTTGTCATGCATATATATTTTTTTAAATGAGGCATAATGCAATTTATTTACTTGATCTCTTTTTGAATTGTGATTTGTTTTTGGATAAATAAATTCCGTGGTATGCTGATATTCCACAACTTCTTCATTGCAGGAGAAGAAAGTTGGTAAACCAAAGGAGGTTGTCAGCAAAGAGCTAGCTGCCTGATATTTTAATAATTAGGTGATGTTGGATCTCCATTTCTTCCTTTGTGTCGATGCTTTTCTAAATCTTTCCATCTGCATTTATTGTAGGAAAGCTTCTCCAACATCGATGTGGGAATTATGAAGACCGAAGACGTATATGGTTAAACACCAAGCGTATGACAGTGGCCATGCTCACGTGAGCCTTCCTTAATGACTGTAGTGCTGCTACCATATAATGCCATCATGCAGATTTCTCAGATATAGGGTCCAATCATGGAGGCGAATATTTTTGGCAACTGGATATGTTACCAAGTCTGTACTTTCACCTGGTGGCATTTTTGTGCATGCACTTGGTAAACCAGTCATCAAAATTATTACAATTGCAAGCAATCGTTTTCTCTGCCAATGGCATTACTTGCTGTTCTTGCTAAGTTTAGTTTTATCATCTTAATTACTCCTGGAGTTTGTGGTTTGGATCAATGTCATAAACAATTCAGCTGGAAGCAACAATGTTGCTTGAGCTCTTCCTGCCCACAACTGTTTCAGAATGTCCAAGACATGTCTTGTTTCAAGTAAGTAATATCGTATGACTTCTTGATGATTTTTAGTATCTATGAAGACAAATACACCTCATAAAATTATGCATAATTTGTTTCTCTAAATGCAAGCTTTTTGTTCTAATAAAAATGTGGTAGCAGAGAAATATCATTGGAGAATTATTTGCATTTACCATCAATAGGATACATGTTCTGCAGCTTTTAATTCCCACTACAAAACTAGGCCATGAGTTGTTTCTGATCATAGTACAAGTAAATCCTATAAAAGTGTAAGAACAGATGAATTCTCCTCTGATTGAAGACATGAAATAGTGCAATAGATTTTCCTACTTTGGCAAAGAATGTCTGCAGCTGGTTGCTGTTATTACAACACTAACTTGATGACCAGCAGGAAGTCAAGGCAAAGTAATACTGTAACATCAAATCAAAACAAAAGCAAGTCATTCAATCACTCCTAAATACTATGGATATAAAAGGGGGTGATGAGTTCATTCAACTTGCTTTGTGTAGTCTGCCACCCAAATCAGCAAAGGCATGATTACCTTGCTGGTTCCACCTCTTCTTCCTCGGACATGCACATTTTGAACCCTGAGGTCATGCATTTCCATCATCGCTTGGATTCATGCTTGGAATTCGAAGAGGAATCAGCTTTGCTAGCAAATCACATGCTTATATAGAATGCTGGTTGACCTTGTTTAGGTGTTACAAATCATTTATTGGGTACTTCGATTCGATCTAGTTCGTTAATCTTATGGTCAAGTTGTTGCAGAAGATTAACTCACCGTGGTTTTTGAGAGGAATCAACAGGCGCCGAAGCTAATAGATCTTCTTCTGGCAGAAGAGAATCTTGCAGTCAACTGTTGGTATCTTTCCTTGGGTACATTACACATGAAAGAGGACACACAGGAAGAGAATTACATGAACTGGATAAAGAGGTGCATGCAAGCACAGAAGTGTTCTTGGTGCAACCAAGTTATATTCTCATGATCATAGTTACAGAACTACTTCATGATTCTTGGACAGAATCATAATGCTTGGGTGTGTAATCTGATCATGATGAACCGCTCACTTCAGTGTCATCTTTGCCGGTCGCTCTGCTACTCGAGTATGTTGTGCTTGTGATCGAACTCCACAGAGCTGAGCTCGAGCCGTCGGTGTTCATGTGCTCAAACGGGTTATCTACAGCAGGAATCTGTTGCTTCCACTCCAACATCTTGACGACGCAGTTCATCGCAGGCCTGGATTCCGGCTGATACTGGATGCACCTTAACGCCACTTGAAACATCCTCTCTGCTTTCTCTCGGTCTTCCTCTTCGATCCCGCACGCCGACAACATGCTCTCCATCTCACCTTGTTCGTACTTCCGCCACGCCCAGATGGGGAACCACTCCCGGCTCTCAACCTGCTTCGCGTCATAGTTCCTCCGCTTCCCCAGTATCTCAAGCAGAAGCATGCCGAAGCTGTAGACGTCGCACTTGTGAGTCACAGGCAATGGCAACCACATCTCTGGTGCGGCATAGCCCGGAGTTCCCCTGCCTCCTCCTCCTCCTCCTGTCGGCTTAGTGTTCTTCTTCCTGTCGCAGAGCTTTGCCAACCCGAAATCAGCAACCTTGGGGAGGAAATCTGGCGTCAGAAGAATGTTTGCTGGTTTGATGTCGTAGTGCACGATCTTCTGCTGGCATTCCTCATGCAGGTATCTGATTCCCTTTGCCGTCCCGGTCGCGATCTCGTACAGCTTTGCCCACTCGATTCTACATTTGTGGTCGAAGAGGTGTTGGTCTAGTGATCCATTCTCCATGAACTCGTAGACCAGTGCCTTCACTGTTTTATCGAAGCAGAAGCCATAGAGTTTGACCAGGTTGATATGGTACGTTTTGCCTATGGTGCCGATTTCCGCCATGAACTGCTCCTCTTCCTTCTTGCCCGAGGTTCCATGGAGGACTTTTACTGCTACATGTGTGCCATCCGGAAACTGTCCTTTGTAGACTGCTCCATTACCACCAGAACCCAACTTCTCCACATAATTCTGCGTGAAATCCACTAGATTCTGAGGTGTAAACCTCATGGGCTTGTCTTTAAGTATGTTATGGAGGAACTCTTCCATCGGTTCCATTTCAATCCTTGATTCCTTGTACATGGAAGATGGAGTTGAGCCACCGGGTGTCATCACTCTTGAATTGGTCGAAGACCTGATGATCTTTTGCACACATCTTATGATCAAAATAACTACCACAATTTGTACTACTCCACACAATACCACAATTGCTGTCCAATGAAGATTCAGACAAGAAAAAGCTAAGTAGAAGAAGCTCCTTGTTTGATTTCATGAAAGAAAGAAAGAGAGAAAACTCACTTATTATGACAGGAACAGGTAGGCCATTCGAATTCGAAGAAGCCGAAGAGTTGCTCGGAGAATTCGACATATCTGACAAAGTCGACAGGATTGAGCTGTTGAGGTAACTCATTCTGTGAGACACTTGATAAATAGATTAAGATCGATACATAGCTCAGATTTGATGTGCTAATTGTCCCATCCTCAAGAATAAGTATCTATTCATGTAGCCTTGGCAAGTATTATCAGATTCACTTCAGTTAAGTACTGAACTATTAAGCTTATCCTTCCCTTTTGCTAAAAAGAGAAAAGAACATGAAAGAATAACTTTTGGCTGCTTATCTTTATAGTTTAATTTTGAGAATGAATTTATTTGATTCACCAACAAGCTGATTTAGCAAGGAGATCATGGCATCAACAAATATGGCTTCCTTTCACCAAGTGAGAAGATTTATAAGAAGTCTTCCTAGAAGTTGCCCAAGTATCAATCTATTGTGGTCCAAGCCCTGGAATTTGCATCATGGATTCACAAACACTGCATCTGATCCTGACTAGAGGTAAGTCTCAGTTTTTCTCATTTAGTTCACAAACTCATCCTTCAGTGATCAAGTAGCATTGCCTGGATTCAAGTTCTACTACTAAAGATTTATTGCTTAGATTCAATTTCTATTGTGACAAAATCTCCTTCATACCTAAAAATAGAGTGTCAGCAACCATTTGAGTTGCAGTTGTGATGAATCAGAAGCCATTACCATGTCAATTGGCAAACTTTTTTCTGCAAGTTTATAGCTCACTATGCTGAAAGAAGTATCTGTTCCATCTAACCAGATTTTAGTTTCTGGTGAAAGAAAGAAATAAGAGAGTTTCTCAAAGGAAAGGAAGTGATGAGGCCAGAAGATAAAACCTACCAGCTTGTTCAGTGTTCAGCTACTGCAGATGCTTCTTCTTCTTCTTCTTCTTCTTCTTCTTCTTCTTCTTCTTCTTCCACTTACTCTTCCTTCATCTTCTGTGTTCCTGCAATAAAACCCAACTTTGAGAAGAAACACAGGTTTGTCTCCCAATAATTGAGGGTCTGTAGATAAATAATTTTCTACATGAAATTTACTTCCAGTCCACATATTTTTCTGTCCTTATGGATTAGGTAAAAAGCATATCAACCAAAGGAAGCAGAGAGCAGCTAAGAGTGCATCATTCAGGTTTGTCTCGTTTACATAATTATTGATGGTATCTGATATAGACAGTTTTCTAAATGAAAGTTACTTTAATCCACAGCAGATTGTTCTCTTCTTCTTGACTATTCAAACAACAACTAGTCAAAGAATGCAACCTCTGGTAGCAGACAAAACCCAACATTTTACAGCAGCCTTGAGACAAAAAATTTGCAACAGTGAGAGATCAGAGATGATGAGAACAGCTGATCATGATTTTAATAGTCCCAAATAAGTCTTAGTTTATGTGGAATGATTAATCATTGAAAAATATCAGACAAAAAAAAAAAGATTCTGTTGCTGATTCTTACCAAAATCCATCTGGTAAAAGAAAATCTATCACATAGATAAGGAAATTATGTATCTTTAACTAAAGCAGATGTATGAGGTCTTCTTACAATCTTCAGGAATAAGAATCCATGCTGTTGCTGACTCTTACCAAAATCCATTTGGTAAAAGAAAACTATCTCATTGAAGAGGAAATCATATATCTTTCATCAAAATAGATGTATCAAGACTTCCTACAAACTTTGGAATAAGAGATCCATGTAAAACTAAGTGATCATACTTGTAAATAAACTGATTAATGATAATCCTATACAAGTGAAATGGGTTGGAAACTGTTTATACACCCATGGCAATTCTACTGATGTTTAACACTGGAAGGATGTGAGGAGATTACTGATATTGCAGCTTGTGGTATGTCTTCAAATTTAGGACTGCCACCAATAATATTTTGGTCACTTGGTGGCTAATGTGCTAATGTATGCTAAATTCATAAAGTTCATATGTTCATTTTAAAGTTCAGTAGTAGTGAATTAATCATTGGATGGTCAGAAATCCAATGTCTATTGGATTAAGGGGTTGAGAAGAGTGTTTAAAGTGATCAAAGAAACCTACTTCAAGAAAACAAAAAGAACATGCAATTCAAATGTAGAAGTGTAGCTAATGGGCTACAGTTCAGTTTAGTGAGATTTAAAAGAATCAATATATCTTCTTAATGACACATTGACAAATGATTCAATATGATATGTAATCTTCTAATTTAATCTTGTGTGGTAGTATCTCACTGGAAATGAAAATTCTAACATAAATAGGATGTTCCTTGGAAACTACAATTTTTTTTAGCATAAAAATTCATGATCTATAATTTTTTTTTTTGTTCATCAGATAGGATTTTAGCTTGTATATTCTAATAGAGTTAGAAAATTCTAACATCTTTTTTTTTGTTTTTACATCTACTTTTCCCTCAATGTATATTCCTTTCATTAATTGAGATATAAGTTAATGTAGATTAAAAAAAATTACATAAATAAAAGTGTAATGGTTAATCACTTTTTTATTTTGCCAAAAAAAATCATAATATGCAGTGATAAAAGGGCTTCTTTTAATTTTGCAGGCTCTCCTCTCCGTCCTCATTACTTAACCTTTTACCGCACGCAGAAGGGATTCAGGTGTTAGGATTTGAGTTTCTACTTCAACCATTCGAATCCCCCGCCAACTCTCTGGCGGAATCTTCGACGAGGTCAGTTCTCGCTTTCCTCCGCTTGATGCCGCTTCTCGGGTTCAACTTATTCTGTTTCTGCTTTATTTTCCTACAACGAATTCGAGAAAAATCTCTCTTTGATATTATTATTATTCTGTCTGTGACTTTAATTGATATCGGGTATTCTTTTTGTACTGTATTACGCGATCTATTTGGTTGATTACATTTTGTTTGGCTGCGTGAATTGGTGAATTCGATTTCGACCGATGCCTTTATCACGTTTAGCATATGGATTCTTGATGGTCGGTGTTCACTTAAGTTTATTGACGTTGGTCGCCTCCTTGTTGGACAGTCGGCTCTTATTTTAGGTTTTTGCGGGTTGAGTTTGCAGATGAATTCTTTTAGATAAATAATTGTATATCTGACACCTTTTGATTCGACTATCGGCTCTTATCTTGCATCTGTGTCTTGGTGCGAGGTTGAATGATTGAGGCATGTAGGGGTGTCGGTTTTGTAGATTAAAACCTAGTGGAAGGGAGATTTGGCTATTTGTGATCTCCAGATGGCCAGTTCTTGATGAGTTCTATGTGCATCTATCAATATTTCAATGGCCTGCCTTTTCGATTTTAATACTTTAATGGCTCAGATTATGTTGTTTTTACATTATACATATGCTTTTTCTTTTGGTAAAGCCCAATCTTCCGAATTGTTTCTCTTTTGGATGACATCATTCAGATCCTTAAAGTATACGTTGTCTATGTCCATTGAACAGAAAGATTGTTATAGAAAACATAGGCATGGCTTTTTGTGCACCTCTGACCGGAAGGATTTTGACACCAACCCCTGTTCTTTGAATCTAGAGGGTATATGAGTGGATTGTAACAGGGAAGATGTGGCTTGCACAATCTGCTTGGATTTTCCTCGCCATGTTGGGCCTTTCGTGTGTGGTACTGATTAGACTCATTCAAATTGTCTTGACCGGTTCATAAGTGCATATGCGGTGCCTAGTGTTGTGAAAGTTACATCACTACAGATGGGGCTTCAATGGTATGCATTCAAGACACTTTTTCTAACTCCAGCAGCCGATCAGCCTGCCCACTATGTAGAGGAGATGTAACTTGGTGGGCTGTTATCGATGAGTCCCGTCGATGCTGTGAAAAGAAACACTGTTCATAAATTGGCAACTTGACTGAGCTGCAGAAGCATGCTCAGATGAAACAACCCCATTCAGGCCCTTCAGAGATAGATCCTGCACGGCGACTTGATTGGGATAACCTTCAGCAGTCTTCAGAGATGTACATTCAGATGTACCAAATGGAGTGGTTTAGGTGATTGTGTTATCGAGCATGGGGATAGATGACCATGAAGATTTTCCTCATAGCAGGGTCAACTGGTGGTGACCTCCTCCTGTATATCTTGTAATGTACTTCATAGCGGTTCAAGAAACCGGCAGAGCTCAAGAGGAAGCAGAAGAAGAAGCAGTCACCATTGAAGCTCTGATGGTTCAAGTCTACAAGATCTGTAAATACACAAGAGTACAGATTTGTTGAAACCAACAATGAACTTGCAAGACGTCTGATCGCCGGACACTACAGGTAGTAGTAGAACTTTATTTTCTAGTTCTTGGATATTCTAGGGGCTGTATTTTTCAGAGCATGAAGCTTTATCATTTAAATTTCTTTGTCAGTAGATGTTCGTAAAACCAATAAAATACCATTTAACTTTAAAGAATTAGTGAAGCCAAAGATGTATTAGATGGGACTAGGTTACCTCTTCTTGATTGCCTTGGCTTTTATCTTTGTTGACTGTACTATATATACTGATATGGCAGGAACGGATCTCATTTCTATGATGATTGAGCACCAAGAAGCTAGTCCATCATCTAGAGGCAGCTTTGCAGCTTCGTATGTCTCAGTTCTACCTTCTCTATTGAGTTTTCCTGTTGGGAATTTATCTATGGATATTGATCTTATATGTGAATATTGATCGTAAGTGGTACATCATGCATATATTACTGACATGCAATTGGAAGTCAATGTTCTTAATTTCTATCTTGATGTAAGCCTAATATTTGGTTTGTATTTGACAGTAAGGAGTTATGGGCTTAGATCTGCAAAGTGTATGGAACCTATTTGATGCTTGTAACGTGATAGTTATACTTTGCTTCAAAAATAGATTATCACCTGCAACTGATTTGTGTAAATTTGAATCAATGCTTTGTATTATCATCAAATATCAAATATATAGTAATCAACAAAGGAACATCTGTTATGAGTGATTTAGTCTGGAACAAGAATGGGAATGTCTATCATATGCGGTTGGTCCGGTTGGATCTAGGAGATTGAGATAGATGGTTTTATGCTCAAATTAACAAGCGCATTCTCACCCCATGAGTTATTTACCATGAATACCATCTCGTTATTATTGAGATTATCTTTATTGTCTTCATGCTGTTTGACAACATTCAAATTTTACCTTTCGGTAGTGTTATATTATTTTTCCACATAAAAACTGAATTTTTTTTTATTCAGATTGATAATATACATTATTGTTTTTCACTAGCGTTGTTTTACTTTTACATAAAAGCTATGAATTTTTCATTCAGATTGACAAGATCCCATTCTTATCACGGGGAGAGGACAGATTGGTCCTGTTCTCTGTGTCTCTCTAAAGATTCTTGCACTTTCATGAACATTATAGTTCTTGGAAGATTCTTGCACATGCATTTCCTTTATCTCTCTTGCAGTTGTTTGATGCAGGTTTCTGTTCATTTGATATAAATTCTTAGACCTAGACCTTCTTTCTAGTAATTTGTTTGTTTAATTATTAAATAAGAAGTTAGAAGATGACAAATGTAAGATTTAAAAGGATATCTGTCTTCTGGTGCATCAGTTTAACTGTTGCGTTTCTTCTTTCTGAAGTGAATCTTGCCTTTTGGGATATATGATGATCGTCTCCTTTTCAATCCTACTTTTATCTGTTGATAAACATCAGACTTGCTTGTTTACCACTGCAACATTCTTTCAAGAAAAAGCATTATGGTATCCTTTAAATTTATTTAATCTTCATTATATTTTTGCCAGAAAGAATACAATTCAAGCACTAGGCTGAGCTAAGCAAACCCTAATCAAATATGAAATTTATCAGTGTCAGGCTTTGACAATGCAGGAAAACTACTATGATACAGAGAGCCTCAAGCTGCATCATGGGTTTAACATATCAGCTAGCTGAGTTGATTCTTTCTGGGAGACTGCTGGTGGCAAAGTGAAACTGGTATCCTAACTAGTAAATCATCTTGCAACATCTATTCAATTAATTTGTGCATTGATAGGTAAGGGGCAAAGCAGATCATCTTTTAGAATCACTCACTATCACTTACTCAAGCGGAACTAAATAATGAGCTTCACACAAATCTTACAGGTGCCCGACAAGACCACTTGAGCAACCTAGTATTATTAGTCTTCATTGAATCTTTGCCCATTCTTTAAGGAGTTACCCTGAGAGGCTTATAGAGAATTTGTTTAGGTGATTTCTAGAGGTCACAATGTGATGAGTTATTCCTTTCTTCCTATTCTACTTGATTTATATACTTGTCTTAGCATGGCAGGTCTCAAATCTTTTGTCTCCTAGACTCTATATGTGATTGAACATGAAACAAAACAATGCCACACTCTTTGGAGTGGCTTTTTTCTCCTTAGTTTCAGCAAGGAATAAGTAGAAGCTTAAAGAACTGAAATCAATTTCCTGTGTAGTTTTATTGACTTCAGCTAAAAGGCATGGGTTTCTACATATCAGAACCCAACTTAACTATTTTGTTCATAATGGATGTCTTCTTTTGTACTTAGACCAACTTCCAATCTGAGAACTATGACCAAAATAAAAGGTTTATGGTCATAGATAGATGAGAAGAACAAGTGGATATATAGCCACCTTGGATGCCTGTTGTGAGAGTTTGGATTGACTACTCTGTAGAACTTCTTCTGCCCGATAAACAAAGAGAGTCTTATTGCTGATGCCCGAACACACCTAAACGGTTCCAAGTTCAAGGCAAGGACAAAAGGAAGATTATTTACATCCCCTCCTTTTGGTGGATTGCTTATATCCAAGTCTTCACCTTCAATATAATTAATTCCATCATTACTGCAATGAGGACTGTCTATTGGGGTCTTCTACCCCCTGTATCAAAAAATATGTCAAGGTCAAAAGCTAAAGTTTTTTATTAAAAAAAATTTAGTACTAAAAAATGAAAATTTGGCACTCTCAATTACACACACTTTTTAAATGGGAGAGGCCCTAATCCACTTGTCCAAAAATTTAAGAAGGAAGGGGAGGAGATGTTTTCTACTTGGGCCTCTTCATTCTTACTCTTTTTGAATGGTAGGAAAAAGCAATCAGAATGGGCATATTTAGTGTTAGTTTCTTCAAAATGATTGTGATGCAAATGGACCATTGGATGATTGGATTGTTGGTCAGACATGATGTTTGTTGATTGATTTGTTTGGTTGTTTGGTTGCAGAGGTTGAATCTTCATGTTGGTGAGCAGGATTCAAGTGATGGAAATAATCTCTTATAGAGATAAGACTACTAGGTTGGTGTAACTTGCATGCTTTCAATGGTTATAAAAAATAGATTGGATTTCTAATTTGATATTACAATATGATGTCAGTAATTCTTTTAAAGTATCACTTGTATATGATCTGACTATACGTAGTTTTTCATAAAGATATACATTAACAAAACTTAATGAGAATAAGAGATCCACATAATCTACCTAATATAGTTAAAGCCATCACAATTTAATGTATATATAAGGAAAAATAGCTTATATAATTAAGGATCCAGATTTTCTTATCATGGTCAATCTAATTTCCAAAATTGGGGAGTTTTGAATACAGCTAAGGATGCATTTTTCATATGTACTCAATTTTTAGAATGAAATATTATCTGTATCTATTGGGAGGGAAATCAGTCAGCAAATTAGCTTTCAAATCATGTGAAAATGCAAGCTGACACTGTTATTTGGTATGCTGAACTGCCTCCTGTCTTAGAGATGTTGGTTCCTAATGATGCAAACCATAATGGTTGTTTCAGACTTATTTAAGTTTTAATATATATATTTTTAATTTTCTTTGGTAAAACAAAATAGCTTACACTCACTTCTGTCTTAGAGATGTTGGTTCCTAATGATGCAAACCATAATGGTTGTTTCAGGCTTATTTAAGTTTTAATATATATATTTTTAATTTCCTTTGGTAAAACAAAACAGCTTACACTCACTTCTGTCTTAGAGATGTTGGTTCCTAATGATGCAAACCATAATGGTTGTTTCAGACTTATTTTAAGTTTTAATATATATATATTTAATTTTCTTTGGTAAAAGAAAATAGCTTACACTCAGTCCAAGGACTAATCAATTAACCAAACTTTAAGTGGGTGATTCTATCTGCATACTTAGCCACTAATATCTATGCATGCATTGATTGAGTAAAGCTCAAGGTAGATGATGTATGTGTCACAAACCCAGACATTTGTCTCATAAACTGGTGATCAACCACAACTCCTCCATCTCCACAAGTCAAAACATAGTACGGTCACAAATAATCTAATCATGAATCTTGATTAGTTAGGAACAGAAATCTTTAGAATGACTTCATAATGAACAACTAAAGTACTGATGTCAAAGTTTTAAGTATATAATTTAGGTGCTAAATATATATAACTAGGCATAATGAGTCATCCAATATATTATCATAAAAATAATGCAGATTATTGTACAGAAGCTTTCAGATCACAAATCAAATGAGAATCTAAATTATTTTTGAGGTGGCCAATCATGCACCCATCACAATGCATTCATTAATAGAACTTTTCTTAGGTTCAGTAGCTCAAGTCAAACTTCTCTTAGTGGGCCATACAACCCATTATTTCCATCAGGTCTTGTATCCAACATTAAAAGAGATATATGATCAAGGCAAGCTTCTGCTGGAGTTGTGTAGATCTCTCTGAAAGCTTAGCATGCATGATGGACTGTGGCAATCTCAATAAGATTTGTGATTCCTTTTTTGGTAGAGGTGGAAAATTTTAAGATATGAAAACTAATTTTAATTTGGAAAGATAGCAAAGAGCATTGACTAAATCAGACCCTAGATCTTATGCACTAAGCATCACATTATTCATCTTTCTTTATTAGTGTCTTCCTATAAAGCTTGCCTCACCTTCCTTGGTTGTTCTCCACCCAAGGCAAGAGACAGGTGCCCTTTGGGTTGTTTAGAGAGAGAGAGAGAGAGAGATGGGCAGAGCTCCATGCTGTGACAAGGCTATTGTGAAGAAGGGACCATGGTCTCCTGAAGAGGATGCAAAGCTCAAGGCTTACATTGAAGAGAATGGAACTGGAGGAAATTGGATTGCACTGCCTCATAAGATTGGTTTGTTACATCCACAAAACCTTATTAACTAGATGCTTTGGCATTTGATTATTTTTCTTCTCTAGGAAAAGATTAAGTCATGTGGGGGTGTGTGTGTGTATACATATATATATATATATAAAAGGAGATGGATCATCTTAGATTTTTAAAGAGGAAAAAACATGGAGAGTTCATATATAGAGTACATGTTATCATGCATGCTGTGTGTGTATGGTTTTCTTGAGATCATGGATGGCCAGTTTATATAGAGTACTGCCAGCTTCTTGTTTAAGGTTTGCATTCATATAGTTTCTGATGCAGAGCTGTTCATCCAAGAGAGAATATCATAAGTATGATTACATAGAGATGGAGCCAATCATAGCTAAAGTTGTCTTCTGATCTTATTCATGACTGGGTCTGAGAAATGTTGTAGAGTTTTATGAGAAGAAACCTTCCCAGAACTTTTTTTATGTATATATGTGAATTTTGATGAGTGTTTGTTTTGCAGGATTGAAAAGGTGTGGTAAAAGCTGCAGACTGAGATGGCTAAACTACTTAAGACCAGACATCAAACGTGGTGGTTTTACAGAAGAAGAAGATCAAAGAATCTGTAGCCTCTACATAAGTATTGGAAGCAGGTAATTCATTCATTCATCTCTCTCTCTCTCTCTCTCTCTCTTCCTGCTTCTTCTTTACTTTCTCCTCCAGATTTAGAATACATTATTTTCTTGATAAAGTGATCTTCTTCTTCTTCTTCTTCTCTCTCTCTCTCTCTCTCTCTCTCTCTGCTCAAACTATATTGTTTTGATGATTTGAAGATGAAGTGATGTGTCTAATCAAGACTCAAATCTTATGCTTTAGGTGGTCAATAATTGCAGCCCAACTTCCAGGAAGAACAGACAATGATGTCAAGAACTACTGGAACACCAAGCTACAGAAGAAACTATTCGGCAAGCGAAAAGAACCACCCCTCCACCTCAACCATGTTCCAACCCTACCTGCATCAGCTCTCGAGAGGATGCATCTCCAAGGCCTCCTCAGCTCCCCCTTCTCCTTCTGCAGCAACCCTGAGCCATGGCCCAACCACCAGCCACCAGGAGACAGATCAATTCTCCCAAGCATCTCCACAGACTCTACGCATCAAGCTGGTTTCCAAATGAGATCTGGCATCTTAAAGTCCGAGAGCGCAAGTACACGAGGAGAAGTAGAGCGTTCAGCGCTAGCGTTTCACTCGGCTTCAACCGGAGGAAGCCTCAGCGTGGAGACTTCAACCTCGAGCTTCGATGCTGTGACTGCAGATCTTCAAGCTGATGAGCTCGATGACTTGCTCTACTGCAACCACTCCTCGTCCTTCGCAGGGCATCAAGAGCACGAGCTCGCTGGCTTAGACTGTTGCAGAGAAGTGTTCCGTGAAAAGGAGAGCACAGATTGGTGGATCGTCGACGGTTTCGAGGATGAGTCGACGATGGTGTCTTGGGATTCAGCTTCAGCTCTCGGTTCACAAGAGTACGACGTTTAGGGATTTGCAAGAATCTATATGGTGTCCAAAAACGGTGTGCAATCTTCTTGGTAGTGTTGTCCCATTTGCGTGTGAGTTTGTCCATGTTAGGTTGCCTCTCGCATTACATCTGATGGGGAATGGATTCGTTATGAACAGAAGCTGATTCGAGTATTCTGGGACAGAAGAAACCTTTTGCTGCTCACATCCATTTCATAGCTCACATGCACACATAGTGGTGAAGGCTAAACCAACACACATGCATCGTTCCGTTTTCAAAGGATAGTTAGTGCACATCAAGCCATCTTTCTGGTGAAGGTTCTACCAAATTTGAAATCATAATCGAATCGAATTCAGGTGGTTTGGGTTTTTGTTCTGGAATCACAAGCTTCGATTTTGAAACTGAAACTATTGGTTTAGTTTCATTTTTTATTTGACTCACTGATTTTAATTAAAAGAATAAATGACTCTATCGAGATTCAAACCAAAGTCAAATGATCCTCCTCCTGTACGTTGATTCAGTAAATACTGTATGGTAAATATATTTTTCAACTTGAAACTCTCTAACATATCCGATATGATAACTGATTCATCCACTACTTACATTCAATCAAACAAACGGGTCTTATAGGATAAGCAGTGGAATGGTCAACAAAGACATTTGATACATCGAAAAGGAGCCGATACTTGGTCATAAAACACACCAGCTGGGGAACATTTCCGAAGAAAATTTATATAACAATGGGCTATGTCCCCAAGTGATAACAATAAATAGGCAAAAATTGGCATCGAGGACGTTTATTTGTATCGTTCGTATTGAAATACAAGACAACTTGCAGCTCCACCTTTTGATCAAACCGAAAACCAAATCAGGAGCTATAACAGTTAATAGAAACTTTGATTATACTAAGAAACACTAAGAGCACTCGTTACCCAGTCTTTCGGTTAAACTGAACATACCTTCCTTCCTGCATTTCTACTCTTTGAAGGTTTGTTGCAGAATGATCTTGGATGCTCAGCTTATTCTTCCACATTGTGTAGTTGTAGTAGTGACAACTATTTCTGTCATTAGAGAAAACTGATGATGCTTTCTCAACCAAAATGTTCGAGCTATCATCAATTCTATATGAGATGTCAATTTCTTCCACGACAAGGTGATATATTACGTCACCAAGTGAGGATGAGGCAGGCTTCTCAGTAAGAATCTGACAGGTTTCTTCATCACCAATATCTTCTAATCCTCTAGCAACATCGTGGCTCTCATTTTCCATGGACACATTGTGAGGGTGGTTTAGTTGAGACAGTGACCTTATATCCCAAGAAAGAAGCTCCTTGATCAAGTCTTGGAACTCATCCTGAGAAGCGTATAGTGATTGTTTTGCCTGGAACAGAGAAACAAACATCAATGAACAACTATTTAGACGAAACCTAGTTAAGCTTTGGTTTTCCCAGATCATACATATAAGGCTTTCAGGTGGTACGATGCAAAGAGAAACTCCATAATGAGAACAAGCACATAATTGGTGGCCAATCCAACTACTGTGTTCGATAGACATGCAGCATAACCAGGGTATCATAAGAAAAGGTTCATGTGGTCAAAGACTTTCATTAGACCATTTCAGAAACACGAGACACTTTCAACCAGTATGGATATAGAGCACAAGGACATGTATCGTTAAGAGGTACAGTACAATCTTAGCTTTTAGTTTGCTTTAGCAAAAAGGTCAATTTTCCAGGTTCGAAGCAAAAGTTTCTGATCAAACCACAAGCAGACAACATCTGCAGCATAGCTCTTCACTTATAACTTGCTGCTATCTTTAAAAAAAAAAAAAAAAAACTTGCTGCTATAACAATATTCCTCTTAATAGACAAGTTGAAGCCCATAGTTTTCTTAGAGGCCCTCTTGCCCATGGGTTCCATGCACAACCATATGAGACACTAATAAACTGTTTAATTACATGTTTTCAAGCAAATGTTTCTAATGGTAATAAATAGCTTACACCAGGCATCTAGACGGTGGTGAGAAATGAAGATAAATAACACCAAAGAATGAAAAGGTTTTCATTGACTACAGATAACTTACAGCTTGCATCCAGCAACCTGAGAGTGAAGAACTAAAATCTGGAGAGAAGTTAACAGATGCCACAGCTAGCATACTATCTGCCTGCACAAATTGCAAATGATGTAAAAAAATATAGAAAATTGAGAAGTTCTCATCCAAAAAATTCAGTAATAACAAGAATAAGAAGCCCATTATTCATGCATCTAACAGATATCAACATTTAGCTTCATTACATGAATGGAGTACATAATATGACAACAAGACTAAAATTCTGTTAAACCCGGTTTTCTATTTTCTCAATGAAACCTTTGATTACAAAACGTTGCAAACAATTCCCTTAAGTGTGAATGATAATTTCTAAGCGACACATATGGCACTAGGATGGACCAGGAACTCAACTGAACCAGGGTGGTTTGCAATTGATAAACCACATGTTTAAGATTCTCAAAGGCTAATTTCCAATTTGTATGTGATTGCTTTCTTGGATTCTTAGCACAATATGCAATTTGTCAGGTCATCAGAAAAGAACCTAAATTCTGACATTTGTGTGGTGTATACTAAACATTTGAGCTAGATGCAATCTTGTTCAGGAAAGATTGTGCTATGTCAACAAAAACTTTATGATGCACCTTGAGAAAGCCAATAAAAACAATTGCAGCCATTGTATGACATTAAAAAAAGTCATGTTAGCTACTCATAAATCATAACCACATTGCAATGGAGTACCTTTACCCAGTTTGGAACAGTTGCACCTTGTATGCTATCAGAATACGGCAGATAAGGTTTAATATCAAGCACCGGCTGTTGATCAAGGTCAAGCCATAAGCACTAGTTCATAATTAAAACTGCCAAATTAATACCCAAGCAACATCAGTGTACTAAAATAAAAAGGCAAACATATAATGTAGAACGAAAAAGTCCAAATGTATACCGTGCCATCAACCAAATCTACACCAGAAAGCAAAAGTGCATGTCCATCTAAAGCCTCAACCTAGAAAATATCAAGTGAAGCAAGGCACAACTTTAGGCATTAGCCATTTTCTGGTTAAAAACCATAAGGGAAAGAAATTCTATCAATGAACCTAATATCACAGAAAAAACATCAGAAGAAGCATACATTTAAATCATGTTACCTACGGATCTAATAACTATAGATTTCAGATTTCCTAATCAGAATTTTTTTAATTTGGCTCCATGCATGCATACACACACACATACATGCATACACATATACATATATACACACACATACACAACAAGGCACGCTCTAAAGTATCTAAAATCTCAAGTGGCACATGACAAAGTGTGATTCACAAGCATCCCTGGAGGAAAAAAACTTAGACTTGCCTCTTTTAGCACATATCAAGTATCAACAGTATCATAATCTTGACTTACTAAAAATCAGCTTGACTAAATCTTGACTTACTCAAAACCAAGTGAGCACCAAATTCAAAAACATTGACATTTACTTGACACAAGAAATTAAAGTAAACCTAGGAAATATGAAACAAATAGGCTACAGCCATTCATGGGTAATTCCAAAAAGATTTGCAGTAAAAAACACAGGTTAGTTTAACACAGAAAGATACTAAAATGTTAGAAATCTGATTGCAATAGAAAGTCATGCTAAAGCCTTTTGTTTTTGTCATTGTACACCTTGACAAAACCAAGAGTCATCTTAGCACTTATTCATGCTTGGGTGATTATGGTTTGTGGGTCATATAATTGAATCATTACCCTAACAGAGACTATAGCACATACTCCAAGAAAGTAACTCATACATACATATCTTTACCAATTCCGACGGTTAGTTTGAATCTACCATCTACCAATTATTCAAGGAAATCCATTACAAGTAACAGCCATTTTTATGTCTATGAATAATTTGAAATGATTAGTTGTTTGTTATTTTTAGTAACTTCAAAATTATCCATTTGAACAAGCATATCAAGGAAACAGTGAAAATTATAAACATCACTGAAACAGGGAATCGGTAAAAGCCCAATTATTTGCTTTGCTACATTACCTTGGCAACAGTGAGCCCAATAGGACAAGGCCTGTGTGGAGATCTAGTAGCCAAGACACCCATTTTACCGCCTTTTAATCTAGGCACTCTAACCTATCAAATAACATGAAACAACATATGGGGAATGTAGCTAAGGCACAAAACTCTAAAATAGGAAAAGATACCTTTGCCTTGAACTTGGATCTAGATGGTTCCCTCCACAGTTTATCAAGGTCGGTATTCAAATGAAATACATAGAGGATCCAGCAATGAGAGTATTCAGCTAGGCCTTCAAGAGCTTCTTTAGGAACTCGACCTGCGTCAAACACCAAGCATGCTCTAGCAAGTGGAACAAGCAAAGGTTGCCTTGGTGTACCATTTCTGCACAAAGATAGGAAGATTAGTTTCTTATAAATTTCTGGAATCCAAATTCACTTTGCATCTATAAGGATGGACACCAAATAATACATTCTTGATTTATATATTGGTGAAACTACTATAATACTCCAAGCAGTGCATGTTGTATATGCAGATCACCAAAGAAATGAAGCCTCTTAACTATACTTCAGTCTCTCTCACAACAAGCACTGTCTTTTTTCTAGTACAATGCATGAGAAAAATCGCCCAATAGTGAAATGTTTAAGTTTCTGAAAATTATCGTCAAAGTAATACTACAAAAACCTTTCTTTTCCCACGAAACAAAACCAGACCACAACAAAGAGAACTCACGACAGGACCTCCAACATCCATCCGCTATACTTAAGTCAAAGCTAGTGCATTCAACTTTAGCACCTGGTAGAGAAGCAGGACCGGACAGTGCCGATGGGAGCCATGGGGTAAGCTGAAGCAGCAGCCTGCTTGGATCCATCAGAGCTCTGCTGCGTAAAAGCATTCCGCAATGCCTAATAGGCTCGATCCACACATACGAAGCGCATTACAATTACCATACGATTAGCGGGAAAGCAAGAAGGAATCAACGACGTCAACCTGTTGAGCGCGGGTTCTTCCACGCCTCTCCGAAGCGCTCTTCTCGAGGGCTGCGGCGAGGGAGGCCTCGAGCTCTCGGATTCGGGACGCCAACCGCCGCGCCTTCTGATTGAAGAATGAACCTGAAGGGATCGGGGATCTTAATATTCTTCCAGGGATTCAGCGGAGTGAGAGCGATGGTAGTCTTTACCTGTGACGATGGCCGCCACTGCCGCTATTGCTAAGGCAGTGGCTGATATTTTAACCCACCCAGTTCCTTCCGCGGCGGCCATGAGAGACAAAAGAGGGGTTATGCGGATCGTGAAGCACCCCCTCCCCCTCCCTCGCCCCAAAGAGACATGTTATTTATAACAGCCGTCATGATAGATGAACCGTTATAAACAAGATGACGGTTGAGGCGGTGGAGACCAGTAAGAGACATGTTGTTTATAACAATCGGCATGTGGGGCCGACAGATGTAACGTTATAAGCAATACCCGCCTTACGATGAATCATTCATTGTGGATGTAGAAACATACCAACTCTTTCGTGAGGCAACATTGCATATGCATTCCTCCGAAGTCAGTGTGTTTCGTATTTAACCCATTTAATCCAAATTTAGAAATATAAGTATTTTTTTATTACCCACAATTTTGACAGGAATACATACATACCTAAAAACTAAATATAGTTTAATCATCATTCCAATAATAGTCAAAAACTTTCAGCCTATACACGTATATAACCATGAGGGGCATCTTTCAGCAAGTTTTGTTGGTGGTAAACCCCATCTCACTACAAGGTCCAGAATGTGCCCACCAAAGGTTAGTTTTATGAGGGAATTGACCAATGCTTGCGAGAACACCAATTGACCAAGAGTACAATAAAAAGCACGCATTCGGTGTGTGAGGTTGCTCAACATAACAGTAGAGAACAAAAGCAACAGATAGAATGGTCTCAGGGGTTGTAAGAATGAAGAAGAATATAGAGGAAAGAATGTGCAATACTTTCATCAAAATTTGTGCCTCTAAACATAAAAACGCAAACCACAATCCCGAAGCATTGTTGGGAGACAAATCGATTGAGCAAATACGGATATTTTAAACAAGCAAAAACGAAGAAGAACTAGGGATATATCATAGCTCACTGCAGGATATTAATATCAAGTAGAAAACCAAATGCAGATTGGATAATTTGACTATCAATTGAAACAAAAATAAAAATTCACAGTAAAAAAAGAAAAAAGAAAAAGTCCCAAGAAGGGTACTCATGTTAGAAAAGAGTAGAAAAAAAAGTCTAAAGAGCAACAAGTCAATACAGGCTAGCAAAAGGCCTTTAGCTTGTTCAGATTTAATGAAAATGAACAAGCAACAGGATTCTTGAAGCATAGGATCTAGAATGAGTCCCATATAAACAACAAGGGAGATCGATGAGTCACTCTGTAATGAGTCACTCTGTAGGTCAAAACCCTAGAGCCACATAATGAAAGTTAAAAGTGAGAACTCCTGCCAAGCACCTGACAAGGTGTTCCAGCACAAAATAGCCCAAACAACATTGAACCTGGGGACCTCCACAAATGGGCACAGCAACAATTTAAATTGTTTCTTAAAGCAAAAATACTTTGCAGACTCAAATTATTTGTGAATAGAAAAAAAAAAAACCTCCCCTATACATCATAGTCCTTTACTTTGACAATGCACAAGCAAACTGAAGGGAAAAAGGACGAATGCAGCTCCAGTTATCTGAAGTTTAAGTTGTCTGACCTTTCATGTTGCAGATTACTAACCATTCAGCAGACGGCAGATCTAAGTAAAAAATCTCAACCACCTAATTGCTTCAGAGGCATACTGAGGTATGTAGCTCCTCAAACTTTTTATGTCTAGAAGAATGGGCCATACAACTATTGAAGAAGCAGCATCACTGCCAAAGAGTAGCAGGAGAAACATCTAGATCAAGAATGAAGACATTTTCAAATTGTCGAAGATGGTGAGTGAGCAAGGAACAAAACCATGTGGAGTAGCGCCGAAGAGTATCAAGCATGAAGAAGCATCTAGATCAAGAATGAAGATTTTCTCAAATTGTCGTAGATGGCGTAAGTGAGCGAAGAACAAAACCACGTGGAGTAGAACCACAAAAGCAATGAATGCCGAAGACGGGCAAGTTGTTAAAGCAGGATCTCGCCTCCTCGACACACAAAAAAAAGAACATATATAGTTTAGTTGTAATTTACCATCCTAGTAACATCATTGCCTACTACTTAACTAAATACCACATGTCCATAATGTTTGATGAAAGACATGTATAAGGTAGATAAAGTTCAAAGAGACTTATCCAAATTCAAGATGTCAAGTGTTGATCAAATAGAAGACAATTCATTTCGACAAAAGCCCAAAGAGCAACCGCTCACACAGGGAGGCATCTAACCACATAAACCGTTCTCAGCTCCTGCTACGCCTATATCTGAAATCAAAATTTCAAGAGAAAACAATAATCAACACTAAAAGATATGTAGCAACTGACACAATAAAAAAACATCCACACAAGACTCCCACCATTGTGGGGTTGAGGGAGTTAACATACAAATCTTTGCAAGAAAACAAGTTTTTGTGACTCGGACTAGGTCATCCAGGTTGGAATGGTGCAACCTTACCATAGTACCAAACCTTTTCTCTGAAAAAATAGCTGCTATGTATTTAAATAAGAAAGAGGATTTGGACCTTACCCATTAGTATGTGGCGATTCAGAACGATGACGATCATCATCAGGAGACTTGCTATAACTACGCCTACGAGGTGATGGACTACGCTGTCTAGGGGAGCGATCACGAGGACTATAACTCCTTTACAAATAAAAATTATCCACATTAGAACAATAGTGAAGTAATTTGAGAATCAGCATGTTAACAATAAATAGGATCAGCATCAGATCACAATTTTAAATCATGAACTTGATAACAACTAGTTAAATAGGTCATTTTGTTATCGGTAAAATTGCAAAAAAAGTTTATGTTTTTGTAAAATTGTTCTCAATATTTTGTAAAGAATTTAGGTAAAACTGCAAAAAAGTTTAAGTTGGAGCAGCAGTCATTGCATATTTTTCTGCAATAATGCCTTCGGAGAAACCTTTCAAATTGGCCTAGCTGGCTCAAAAGTTGATCATTCCTTCAATATATACTGAAGCAACAACAAGTAGCAGCAAAGGCAAATAACTGATACATGCAAAAAGAGTACATATGCAATCTATGTAAAAGAAGAAGTCATAGATTTCTTTTGAAAATATTGTGTTATCGTATGGTAAGAAACTATAGATAACCGACAGAACAGAAATGAAACATTAAAGGAATTGTGGTGAAAAAGTTAGTGCAGTTCAATTCTGCTAGATGAAAATAACACTATGATAGTGAACATCATATGCCTAGTCCAAAAGGAAAGGCCTGATGCTTGAACAAGATTGTTCTGACCAGCACAATTACAAATGGATGTCCCCAAGTTCATTCACTGCCAAGTGGAAAAAGGCAGTTCGATAATATAATGCTTAAGTACCAGAACCATCTTTTCCTTATTTCCCATTAGTAAACTGGATCTGTTATCAACTTGCTATTATGAAGAGACAATTAGCATGCTATTTACTGTTCCCATAAATGATGGTAGGCCTCAGGTGCAAATATAAAATCAACATATAGTAAATTGTGTCTCATGTCATTTTCAACTATACTGTAGTAAATAAAAATAGATATCAGAGATCCTATTTTTAAAGTCAGATATTCATCAGACTCTTTCTTCCCCATCTCAGTTGATATTCCACACATGAAGCATGATTTCCATATCGCAGAACCGTTGATCCAATTGCCCAAAATGTACTAGCAACTTCAAAGCTGTCCATCAAGACCTCATCTAAGTTTCACTTCTCTTCTACTCTTCTCCTTATTCACCTCAAAGACTACTGTGTTGGAGAAACCGTGCATAAAGGAGATGCCTCACCATGGGGCAGCAAAAATAGGCCTTGTCTGTCCTCCATCAATGGTGGAAAAGGAGAATGCTTGAATCTGCACGATTTTCCACTACACACATGAAAACCCCCTCCAAGACAATCTTGTACAGAGATTTTGCTGTTTGCACTACAATCTGCAAGGTATTCAGCTTGGTCTTTGAATGTCGTTCTCCTTTATTGATTGATCCATTTTACCATAGTATTTTTGCCTCTTGTTTTTGTACATATCCAAACATCAATGGTTTAAAGGAGCCGTTGTACTTAAATTCCATGGTGATCATTTAATAAAACTTTAAAGTACTGCAGCTCAGCTGCCTTCTTTGGGTTATTCTAGCGTATATAGAAATTGGTATTTAGGAATTCACCATTCCCAAGTTTTGCCTAAAGTAACCTGAAATCCATTAAATCCAATGAACCCAACTTGTCAGGTCAAGCAAACAAAGAAAGCAAAGTGCAGATATCACACAAGGGCAACACTGACAAGTCATATACCCATTTCTAGATAGTATTAATCATGTGGCTGTCTGACATCTTTACTTACCTTCGACCATAGCTTGGGCTTCGACGATATCTGGGACTTCTGCTTCGGCTCCGACTCCGACTCCTACGCCTTCCACTTCCTAATCCTCCAGAACCAATTCGCAAACGGCATTCGCGTGCAAAATGACCAGGCTCTCCACATTCATAGCATTTCATATCTGAACCTCCATGACGGTCACGACCACGGCTGCTGCTAGAGTTATGGGACAGCTCAACTCTCCATCCATGCTTGCCTACGAGAAGGATATAGCAAAGCAAAGTTTGTTGGAACACATGAGGACTAAATATGATTCAATCTTCTTATAAAGTTCTACATAAACAAAGAGGTCAAAATCAGAAATAGAGAACATTGATCCAATTAGACATGGGTAGCATCCTTCATGATCAATAACTGCTTCTTTAATTAAGATGACATAATTATTTCACATCAGAAACCTTCAATGGAATGTTGTTTGTAACTTGTATTAGCCAAAAGAGGAAGATAAGGACAGCAGTGGGACAAGAAGAGAAGGGGAAAAAAATGAGGGAGCTCCTGCTGCAGTTGAAGAGATAGACCATGAAGTGCAATGAAGCAGACATGCAAAGTGGCTACTAACAAAAGACAACACTGGAAACCAGTCGGTCAAGCTCGGGCCTTGATTCTTTGGAATATTCAGATTCAGACAGCCCCAGACTGGAGGTAACCTGAGTAAAACTGGTACATGCCGATCACATTAATCAAGTTGACATGTGATTTAAAATGAAAATATTCAAGATCACTTCTTTCCCAGTTAGCCTGAGTTCAAAAAATAAGAATATTACTAGTAAAATTTATATTGTGAAACATAATCTATGACATCATCATATACACTAGATCTAAGTAGAGAATCCAATCTTCCACCGTATCTCACAACTGAACTGATTATACTATAATTATTTCCTAGACTATACAGCACACAATGTGCTCTGAATAACGAGCAATAATTTATTAAGGCATAAGTCTGAAATGCCTTAATAAACACTCCTTTGTTACCTCATGATGTAACATAACCCTTGCAAGAGGAGCTCCACTAAAAACTGGAAAATATTTTAGAGTGGATAAATGGTACAGATGATTTCTTGCCATTTGGATCATAAAGGGAGCAACTCTAAGAATAGATATAAAACAGGTGCATCAGAGTAATCTGGAAATTATATGTTGAAGATAACTAAGAATGCAATTCAAAAAACTTTAGGTGCCTACTTGTAAGATTGTAGCCACCAATAGCAATTGGTTCAAGTCGCATGTGGCAGGAGAAGCATTAACTTTCGAAAGTCTGACAAACAATTCACACTATCTACAGTTGTTGGTTGTACTCATAAGAAATGCAAGATCAAAAATATATTAAGAAGAAGTATATATGCATAAGATACATAGATGATAATACACATACTTAAACCACCATTTGATATCAAGGTACAAAACCTGCTCTGACGAACTCAAAAATGTTTTGAAAAAATATAAGGTTCGAGGTTTTTTTAGTGACAGTTAATTAGATAAAAATGATACAAACCATCCAGATCACGTATTGCATCCTGAGCATCTCTCCGATCATCAAAATCAATGAAAGCAAAGCCTGGAGGTTTTCTAGCAACCCACACACTGCACCAAAAATAAAAGGTTAGTACTTTTTTCCTTAAAAAATTATTGAAATCATGTTTTACACTCATGTTCAAATGAAAATGCAATGTTGTCGAGAACGAGTATTGAAACTTTAACATTTTCTTTTGGAGAAAACATAGTTCCATAACCAGCAAACAAGTTCCAGAAAGGATAAACAGTTCCAACACGTCACACAGATGAAGCAATAGCAACAGACAACTTTAACGTTACCATGCACCTATTTAGACAAACAGTTCCAAGAGAATCACCCAAGCGCATGATTGTTTTTTGCTTTTATAATTGCATCACGAAGAAGACATTTGGCCTCACTGAACACAGTGTAGATGTCTGGAGCTTTTGATACCTCAGTTTGTACAAATATCTAAACGTGAGACATGTTAATTTCAATAAAGGATGCAAACAGATAGAAAAGCAACCACACTGAAAACAAGATATTCTTTTTGCACTGAAAAGTTCAGGTAAAGCAACTAAATGATAGAATAATCAAGATCAACAATTCAAAGTTCAATTAAATAAACTGCAGAAGTTTGTGACTGATAGCATATAACAGAAAGCCAAGTTTTCCACATGCATGCCCAAGGTTTCAATAACTTTATTTTTCTTTAATTATGTAAGACCTAAATCCTCAGAACTAGATTCTTAAATCAAAACAAAGGCAAAACTGTGACCATGGCATATGATTCAAAATTCAAAATTGTGAATCCTGGAGTCCATATTGGTCTTTTTACCTTAAGATTGGGCATATTGGACTAAATCATGACATGAAGTTTCCTCCATCTCCGCCCAGATGCTATTAGCTCATACAAGCAAAGATAGCACATGATGTAGAAACCAAACCAGGAATATAATTGTCAAGTTTCCACATTTAGAAACACAAAACACAGAAAATATGCACAAACAAATAGCTCGGCCAGTACATTTTACACTAAAAAATGGGCTTATTTTGCTTCGTCTTAGTGCTGAATAAACAGGAAAGGTAAATCAAATAAAGAAAGAAACTCATACAATCAGATAGTAACATCATTATATCAAGAAAGAATGCATGCCCTTTTTCATTTGTGAGGTATGAAGATCCCACGATAACCTTTCAGAGTTTACCTTCGAAGAACACCAAACACTCGGAACTCGTCTTCAAGCTCCCGAGCAGTCGTTCGGGGGTCTAAATTGCCAACATAAAGACGAGCCATTACGGACCAGTAATCTGGAACCAAAGTAACAAGTACTATATCATTTCAGCAGCAAGGTCTGATATCTTAAAATATTAATCCTTATAAGCTACTTCTACTTCAGTTATCTTCAAAGTTACAGTAAGAACATGAGATCACGCAACACAAATACAAAGAGAACAACAACTTAAAGAATCCAAATAGGAACTAGAATACCCTGATGAAGGATCTCGGAAGGAGAATGCCTCTCAAGGGAAAGGCAGATACTAGAAACATTAACTGAAATCGCATTTTTCTGGAAGATTAGGGTTTCCACGCGACGGAAGAAGAATGGATCCGAACGCAAGAGAAAAACCGAACGAAAGGGAAGAGGGACGGATCGGTTCTGACCGGCGATTGGGATGAAGGATCTGCGGGAATCGGCTTCGAGGCTAGTGGAGATCTTTGGCGCCGGCGACGATCCCCGGGAACCCCCAAATCGTTTCCTGGGGAAAAGGTTGGTCTTCTTTAAGAGGCGTGCGGCTTCGAGACGGTGTCCCGGGGAGGCCCAGCGCTCGATCTGGAGCGTCCGTCGACGATGGCCCACCGATCACGGGTTCCTCATGACGCTTCGATCGACTCTTGGTAGGAAATCGCGATATGACCGCTTCGAGCGGAGTCTTATTGCCGTCGGTAGATCCGATATGACCGATCCGATCCGATCCAGTTATAACGAGGCGGAGGTCAAGATCAGGATCCGATTTATCCCAAACGTTGACCATGATGTTCTTATTCAAACTAAATGGTTGACTTAGCTTGAGGTGAGTCCAAATGAATCTAACGAGTCTAATTGCTCGATTCCGATCTAAATATAAGATTAAGATTTATGCCGAGGGTATGTCGAGTAAGATCTTTCGAATGCTGACGTTTGAGAAGGAAGGATTCATCATCTTCGAAAATTGTTCATATATAGATAGTATTCAATCATTGCCACCATTGATTAAACACATTAGTGGAGAATATTCTATTTTATATATAATATTAAGTAGAGTTCGAGTCAAACATTAATTCGACTTAACTGTAGTTTTAGTCAAATTTCAAATTGATCCCAATCAAATTAAATCAGTTGAAAATGTATTTCTAAAATGATCAGCTTCACAAACAGCTCATAACCTTTGTATCTGAACACTGACAGAATCCACTCCATCAATAGAGGGTGGTTGATGTACTTTTTAGGTGAGTTTAGGGATGAAGTACTCTTAGAATCCAATGGTATGATCTAAGGCGTATGAGCACAAAGACACACACTATGCATCTGCTGAAACCACTCGAAAGGAAAAGCTGTGAAGAAGATGAGTTGGTGCGCTGTGCCATCAGATGCAACTTAGAGCTCCACCTCTTTCATTTCTCAGTACAGTCCAACACACAAGGAAGAAGAGAGCCAAGAGAGTTGTATGTTGTCTAAGGTTTTCCAAAGTGATGGCCAAAACAATGGATTCAATCAATAGGAAGAAACAAAAACAGGAGACGATATTCCACAGAAGACGAGCTTACCAAAGCTAATCAACTGTCACCCCGTCCCCCTTCCTTCTCTTTCCCCACCACACACCATTTCTGAACCACCATTGCGTTCATGGCCGGACAATGCAGAGGAGAAGACAAACAACAGCAGCAATAAACAATGTCGAACAGGAGGCAAAGATTAAAGAAGGAAAAAAGAAGTGATTGAGCCTGGTATGCCAATATCGCACACTGCACACACAAAATCTAAGGAAACCTTCACCGGAGTCTCTTCATCTCCATCTTCATCTTCAGCTGCATTGTCTTGCGGCCTTCAGTTGCTGCAGCAGCAGCGGCTACTGCCTGCTTTTCCACTGCAACTCACACCATCTTTCTGCCTCGGTTTGCCTTCCACTAGTAGGCGGAGTGATCCTCCTGGTTTCCTCCTGTGGAAGCACAAGAGACCACCATCTCTTCCCGCAAAGAACCCTTCTCCTCCCTCTTCTACCATCTCCATCACTCTTCCGCTGAGCTTAAAAGGAAGATGTAGAAGAACAGTGACGGTATTTATGTCTTCTGCTCTTTTACTCACGCACACCTACCCCGCGCCTCTCTCTCTCTCTCTCCCTCATTGAATCTATTGCCACACAGTTCCCCATCACCAACTCTCCAAATAGGTAATGAAGGCGCTCCCTGTACACCAACGCTTCCTGCAAGGTAAGATGACCTTAGTGTCCCTCTCTCCACCTTTGTGGGCGGGGGGGGGGGGAGAGAGATGGCCACACCGAAGGGTAGTCCGGGAACGCGGGAACCGAAGCAATTGGAAGCTTCGGCCGCCAAACCCACTGCGTTCCAAGGGTTAAGTAAGATGGATAATGGCTCCCTCTTTCTCTCTCTGGTCTTCTCTCGCTTTGACCATCAAAAAAGCTGCAAGGAGAGGTAGCATTTAGTGAGGAAAATGACACGGCCATAGCAAAAATGTTCTGTAGCCATCACCGTGAACAGGTGAGATGAAGAGGCCAAGACATTAAAATGTAGGTCGTGACTCAAAAGTCATCTGATGTATGAGCCGTGTTGGTGCTAATGTTTCTTGCATGAACTGGAAAACGACTTGAGCTGCAGTAGCAGCAGCAGTCTGCTGGCTCTGCGCATGTGGCAGAAACCAGCAAGAGGAGGACTGGAACCATTAGAACACTGAACACCGCCCCCCCCACCCCTACTTCGTCTTCTGTGGGTTAACAGTCGTGTTATGGTGTAATCTCAGCACTTGTGGATTAGGGGTGTGCCGATGTATGATTGACTTCACATGGTAGCAATAATGCCTGCAATGTTGTGTCATGTCAACCATGGATGACTTGCACTGTTTCGCCATCCATGGAAAGCAACTGTGACGCTGATGATGTTAGAACACAGAAGATGAAGAAGAAGAAGAAGAAGAAGAAGAAAAGTAGAGCGAGTGAGGAAGAAGAAAAGATGAAGCTCAGACAAGGAGTGTCTGAAGCAGAAAAGATGAGCTGAGACAGGATCATCGATTCCACAAATGATCAATCTGTAACACTTGGATTTAAGAGGACTCGATTGCCTTGCGGCAATCTGTGGCATTTCTGGAAGAACAAGAGGAACTATTGCTGATGGTGAAAGGAGGAGGAAGACGTGTTGGGAAATTGTGCATCGATACTGTGCTCTCTTGCTGAGACGACAAGACATCGACACTCAGCCATGCTGGTGTCATCTCGGTAAGAGAGAGAAGAGTAGGGTGTTTGTATTGTGGTGGAGCAGATGGTACTTTGATTTGTCTTTGTCATGAATCAATTAATTATTGTTAGATGTGCTTAAAATTGAATGGTGTAAGGAAAAAGGATGAATTATTGAGGGGTTATTTTTTTCGTAAAACAATATTGTTTTTTAAAATCCAAAAAATACACCAACTTTATCTTTGCTCTATGTGATTCTTTTCTTGCTCTGGTTGAATGAACTAATAAATTGAATTGAATTGATAATATAACGATTTTTCTGAAAAAAAAAATATTTTTTTTACATATAGTATACATGTTTTCATTTTTTTTAGATAGTACCCCTAATTTGTATAATTTTAAAAATATTATAGTTTCACATTCTAGTTTCACATTTATGCAAGTCATAGATCAGTAAAGTAGACATTATGTTGTATCATTGTTTCTTTTGGCACAGATGCAGGTAGTGCAATTTTGCCAAATCTTGGGATATTGCACGAATCTTCATCTGCTATTTAGCAACATTTTAATTCAAAAAAACCCAAGTTTAACTTTGAAAAACAAAGGCAATGACCAGATTTGTGAACAAGACTTTGAATCATTAGTACAAATGATGCGGCAATGAGAGACACTTCATTAACTAAGAGCCAAAATTTATCACTTCTTTCCTGCTGACTCTTGTTTTGGATGAGTGGATCAACAGAATGCGCAGATCCAAGCTGGTCCTGTTAAGCTGGAAAGCAGTTGCATTGCACCACATCACAACTTGTTTAGAGAGAGTTCTTCAAAACCCATTCGATCAAAGTAGAGACACCAAATCCAGTTGCTGCACGTTTCTTATCGTTCCACACCGGTCCTGCCATGTCGATATGAAGCCACTGGACCTTCTCGTCAACAAACTGCAACAAAGTGGGATTCTAGTTTCACATTGTTGCATGAACATTGTTATTGCCAAAATGAAACCATTATTAAAAAGCGATAAACAAATTAATATATACAGATCCGCAACAATGCTTCCTTAGAAAGAAAAGGTGTAGGCTCTTCCTGGTCCAAGTGGTTCTCATTTGACAACCCATTTAAGCATTTGTGGCTTTTATTTCCTTTTAAATTCATGTCATTGAGATAGAAATTTAGGATTTAAAGAAGTTGGTATGTGATTGCTTGGAGATGCTATAGCAAAAAGGAAAATCAATAGCTCGACTTCAGATAAACAAATCCTATGTCTTACTTTCAAGGTCTAGTTTCTTTGTGGTTTATTTAAATATTGAACCTAAAAAGTCTGATAACACTAAGAACTAGCATGAAATCTAAAAGACCTACATAAAGTAATCTATAAATTCATAGAAATAATCCAAGCATCTCCTCAATGGTGTCTTAGTCTAATTCTGTCACTCGTGGGACCTTTTTAAAGTAATAAAAAAGATTCATGGCCAAAAATAGTCCAAGTATTTGTTTAATAGCTTCATGTCCATCTTTACGAAACCTAAGAATGCAATAAACATCTTGCTTTCATGAGTCCCTCACTAGTTGTCCTTTTTTTCATTTGTCCTTCCTCACCAGCTTGTGATTTTATTGTAACTACTCCTTAACACCAGTTTATTTTTGTTCTTAATAGGACCCAGACTTAAGCCACATGTCACTTAGGACAACAGTGAAATAAAATATTTATGTCCCACCAATCTAACCATGCATTCAAGTCATTCTACTGATCATTATGAATGTCAAATTTGATATTGTTGATAAATAATGTCAAATCTGAAAAATAACCCAAAAGGAACACTACTCAAAAATGGGTTGGGGTGGAGAAACATTCATGGGTTAGGTGTTCATGGGTTTCAAAACATTCCTTGAAGAAGCTCTTGAATCCTATATCCTTGCGAACAATTTAACCTCCAAGAGTATATTGATGCAACATTTGTTGTAACAAGGGCAATTATTATTAGAATTTGCTGGCAGGATATCATAAGAGAAAGGGTAATTTAGTCTAAACCTGTTTCAGGAAAAGGGCAGCTGTAATAGCTCCACCTTGACGACCTCCAGTGTTCACCATATCAGCAACACCTGATTTCATCGACTCCCAGTAGCTATCTTCCAGAGGCATCCTCCAAAACTTCTCTCCTGTGGCTTCAGAAGCTGCAACAATCTCCTTGGCTAGATCATCATTAGGAGAGAAGAACCCTGTGAAAATAAAGAACAGTTGGTTGACTTCATACAGACCACTGGCAATTCTCACTGGCTGATTATATATTGTGACAACATCAAACCACAAGCTGTAACCAACAGGCTTACCCAAACAACTAAAGGCTCTAATCTTTACGTTTCCAATTCAAGGATAGCAAGGTTGTATAAAACCCAAAAAATCAATAGGAAACAACTCTAGTTAACTGCAAATTTCCCTCCATTTGTAGCCAAAAATTGACCAACTGAATGTTAACTATAAATACTTAGCAGAACACAAGTAAAGCACCGTTAACAGAAATTAATAGCCTTCAAAATGTAATCACCTCAAAAGCATAAAAGCATATATTCCTGAATCGGGAAGAAATTAGAAGGAAACATGTAAGTACTAATTGCTTGCTCAGAATCACAAAGTAAATGTGTTTCTAGATCACTCTCTGCTTTATGTACTCGTTTACCAGGTACGATGGCAGTTGCATAAAATCAGCAGATTTGAGTAGCCATTTGATGACAATCACTACCAAAAAAATTAAACCAGGGAAAATTACAATTTCAGGTAATCAATTGTGATGATTGAGGATCTTTACCTGCAATGCTGGGCCCAAGGGCAACTACACAGGCACCAGTAAGTGTCGCTAGATCAACCACCTGTGTAAAAGTTTGTTGAGTCAGAATTAGGAGATAATTAATATAAGCCTCAAAAAGAAAATTCCAAGTATCAAGCATAAAAGAAAAACCTTCTGTCTCACATTTTTTATTTTAAAATTTAAAGAAAACACTGATCTTTTATAATCATCAAGAAAAATTTTACTTCAACACTAAGGTAGGAGAAAACATGAAGCAAAGAATTGTTGCACTCATCCTGCTTCATGGGATAGTCAAGATAAAGACCATGACCTTACAGAATATGCAATAAATTTCTCATTCTATTTGTCTAGATACGATGGATGGCATCTGTACACAATTAAGTAAATAATTTAAATGTAACAGTATCTTCAGAAGTCAAATGCTTCAATTATATGTATGACCATCTAGCCACACCTATCAATTCATTCAATTGAACAAGAATTCAATAAATATATGAAGATAGATGTGAATAAATCAGCCTTAGAATAATTTTTAATTCATTATTCTCTCTGCTCAACAAATTTATGAGGAAACCACATAATCAATTTTAGGGAAGCCACCTCTCAAAAGTACATGAGACCTATTAAGATAATGAAAGCAGGGTTCAATGAGAACATAAAACTAATAACATGTTACAGTACCTTTTCAATGCCTTGGTTACAAGCATAAATCAAAGCATCTGCAAGTGTCAGCCTTCCCTCTGCATCTGTATTATTGACCTGGAAAAAAAAAAAGAAAGAGTATAGGAGGTGCTGAGGTGATATTGCTGTATGAAATGTATTAGCCAAGAAGATAATTCATATCTAAGAAATAAGGCAATATTATATGTTGAAACACCATAATTTTTTTTAGACATTGACATATTCATGTAAATTTCTTTGATTTATAAACAGATAAGCCATCAATTATCTCAATGAATGTCACTAGAACAAGAATTTTATGTCACAAATATACGATCAGACAGATCTGGATGTGGCTTAGGCTTACACAATATACCAGGAGAAATTAATTCAATATTTTTAAATTTATTAAGAAGAAAAGATAATCTAATAAAGAGGGCAGTCCAGAGAAACAAAGATCCACAGCCCCAGATCTAACAGATCATGGAGAAGTAGCTAGCTACGCAACCAAATTCCAATTCAAGAGGACTGAGTTCAACCATGTTCAGAAGTGTTACAAATAGGACCAGCTAAAACTACTAATAAAACAAAATATTAGAACATTATGCAAGAAATGAGGGGAAAACTTTAGATGAGAGTCTTCTGCACGAACTCTAATGCATCTTCAAAAAAATCTAGGCCTTTTTTTCCTGAAAACCTAAAACTAAAAACACTCAGATGAGAAAATCTTCTACACTAACACTTATATTTTTATAAAAAGCGATAGGTCCCTTTTGTCTGAATATTAAAACTAATTTTTATCAAAAGCTATAGGTCCCTTTTGTCTGAAAATTAAAACTAAAGAAACTCTAGCAATGATTACTAATCCACAAAAACACAAAATTCAATGGATTTATAGAGGATTTCACAATCCTCTACTTTCTAGAAAAGACATGGATTGCCACAAGACCAATTGTGCCTAGATGGAAGGTAGAAAAATCTAACTTTCTGGTTGCCTTTCAAGCTCATTAGAGGAAAGCACAAGTAACAAAGTTTTGCTATAACGAGATCTGTTATCTCAAAAACACTAACAAGCCAAAAGTTCAATGGAAAACAATCAGAAAACTACATAAACAATCATATTGACCAGAATAAATTCCTCTAGATGAATAATTAAATACCTCTGTGATGTAAGGGCAGAAGTTATACCTCAATGGTCTTCCCATTGGAAGCAGTGACTATATCACCTGGCCTCATGCCTGTGCCACTAATCATATTTTCACAAGCAGCAACTATGAAATGAACCTGTAAACACAAATAGTTTAGTGTCAGGAACAAGTAACTGCTGAATGTCTAAAATGTTGGATTCTTCATGGAACAATTCCTTTTCATCGAATGTATAAGAGTGATCAACTTACTTCGACTCCTGGAGGTTTAATTTCGCCTAAAGCTTTTGCTGCACCAAGAGTAGCTGCAGCACCTCCCATATCAAATTTCATGAGTTCGATTGAACAACCTGGTCCAGTCTTTATGTTGTAACCACCACTGTGAAAATAAAATGGCATTGAATAAAGATTTTTTGCACTGTTTCAGATAATGCTTTTAATTATATGATTTCTAAACAAGTATAGAATGACAGATATTGTGATGAGAAGTTTACAATTTAAATCAATAATACAGGGAAAAGTGAAAGAAAATAATTGATAGGTTTTTTACTTAGACTTTTGGCAAGTAATGAATAGCTATATCCCTCCTCTCTATGGAATAGACATGTACCTGTCAAATGTTAAACCCTTCCCAACAATTGCCAACTTTCTCTTCACATCACCACTCGAAGGTTTATAGCATAAGTGGATAAAATGAGGGGGATTTGAAGAAGCAGCAGCAACACCTAAATATGATCCCATCTTCAACTCTTTGCACTGTTCAGCATCTAATATGGTAACAGTAAAAACATCACTGTACAATGTGGCAATTTTTGAAGCTTCTTCTGCCATTACCCCTGGAAGTCAGAAAAGTCACTAAGTGTATGACATTCCGTTTCATATCTAAAATAGGGTAAGGAGTGCAAGGGTAGACAGATAAATCACACAAATTGACTGTTCAACACCATTTCTCACTAACCAGGTGTAAGCACATTGGCCGGTGCATTTACGAGCTCTTTTCCAAAAATCACTCCAGAGCAGACATCAGTAGCATACTTGAGTTTCTGGTCCACCTGTTCTCCAGAACCAAAACCAATGATGTCCACTGTTTTAAGTAGTGGCTTTTTTGACTCTGACTTAAACCTATTATCTTCATAAACTCCTAGCACAGTTCCTACAAAAAAGAAAAAACAAGTCAGATTTTTTTTTCAAAAATGCAACCAACAAATGCTCAGTAACTAAGGAGTGTTTTCTTATTTCTGATTTCAGTTTCACCAGTTGTGTTTCTACTTTCTAGTGATGTTGCACTGTTTCTATATATGAGATCATTACAAGAAAATCATTATAGGTTAAGACAACAGAAAACCTACCTGATGCAATTGCTGAAGCAGCATGTAGTTTTGCCTCTTCTGACATCCCATCGAGTGATGCAAGACAAACAGCGGCATTACTTGCTTGGGCAGCCTTTGCAACTGCTGCAACAGCTTCCCCAATGCCTTGGTAAGCAGTCACACTGGATGAGGGAGACCCAAGCCCAAGCAATCCTAGTCTCTTGAAACCCAAACCAGGTAGCCTGAGAACTGTAGACTGGCCAGATTTTCCAGTAAAATCCTCCTCTGTGGAAGCTTCTGCCAAAATACCACCAAGCTTCTCATCAAGCCTCTTCAAGACTAAATTCTCAAATTTAGAATCCGAGTCCTTTTTCATATCTTTTTCCGATACAGCAACAGCGAGTATGTCCCCTTTCCATTCAACAAAATCTAACTCCCTTGCAGCAAACGCAATCTACAGAATGATGAAAAAGAGACACTGGGCAATTGAGGTCAATTATTAAAAGAATGAACCTATCAGCATAAATTTTCTGCAAAATTAAAGTACAGGCTTTTGCAAAACTACCAGAAGAATTTCAAAACTGAGATAGCAATAAATTCTAAAATATAATGAAGCAGAAAGATATATAACATTTGTGCATGCAAATAACAGGGCCATTTAACAAAGCAAAAGGCAGCATTTAACAAAATGCCTCAGAGGAAACTAGCTATATGTTGTTGCTGTTTCAGCACTTAACTGGCAACAATAACAAGGGTAAATTTTATTCATAGCAAGGGCCGCATGGAAATTACTCAAGATATAATTTTTATGTGAAGAATACAATTAAGAGAAAGCATTATGCTCCTCGCAACAGGGACATTTAACAAAGCAAAAGGCAGCATTTAACAAAATGCCTCAGAGGAAACTAGCTATATGTTGTTGCTGTTTCAGCACCTAACTGGCAACAATAACAAGGGTAAATTTTATTCATAGGAAGGGCCGCATGGTAATTACTCCAGATTCAATTTTTATGTGAAGAATACAATTAAGATAAAGAATTCTGCTCCTCGTAATAGTATACAACCACCTTATTTTAGGACAAACCAAAAAGCCACTATCACTTGTCGAAGAACAGAATAAGAACATACAGTAAAGTATTAGTTAGTTTGAACACAAAACTAACTACTGCCATGATTTCTAGTTAGTTTGAACAGAATGATGGCCAAATGACAACAGAGTCATAAAAGAAAATGGCAACTTCAACAAGCCCGGAGACAAGCACAGTGGAAGACCCAAGATTTCTAGTTTAGCATGTTCCAAGCAAAAGAAGAGGTGAGATGACTGCAAATTCTTTGTACTGTGAAGAAAGAATTGAGAAGACAAGCTTTTATGTCCTTTATCCAAGATAAAAGCCAAGTGACGGGTACTCAAAACTGACCACCGAGGGGAGGAAGTCACGGGCGAGTCCCAAATGCGCTAATCCATAGATTGGGTAAATGCCTGATGACTAACTATAGCTTATCCTTTTAAAGTTGCCCTTGCTTTGAACAGGAGTTGGAATAGATGAACTCATCCCAGAAATCCATTCCAGAAGAAGACAAATGAACCTATCTATTAAACAAAATATAGAAAGATTGATCTTTTCGGAGAGATAGGAAAGCTCAAAGATTGAAGATCCAAATGAAGGAGCATATCCAACTACAAAGCCGGATAAAAAACATAACTTTTATGTTCAGAAACGCCAGTCATTTCATCGAACATCTGCAATGGGAGACACGCGAAAGAAAACAAATTGCCGAGACTCCGGGTGGGGATCGACAGCGAGAGGCAGAAAGAGAAGACCTGAGGGATCTCAACGGCGGCGGGCTTCGTGAGCCCGAGAGTGGCGCGAGTGGTGGCGGCGGCGGCAGCGGTGGAGTGTCCCATGCGACCGAGCCGCCGCCGGCGGAAGGCGGGGGCGGAGGGGGGACGCCGCAGCCGAGCGAAGCAGAGGACCGCAGCGGAGTAGCGGCGAGGGCAAGCAAAGGTGGAGGAGGAGGAGGAGGCGTAGGAGAGCCGCGATGCAATGAGCGAAGCGGTGATTGCCGCAGCGGCCATTGTCATTTATTGGGTGCGCTCTCCGGTGTGGGAACGGTTGGTTGGATTCAAACCCCATCGTTTAGCTGCTTTTTAAGGCAATCGTCGATGTGGTATTTTATTGCTCTCTGTAGTGTGTACGTATGAGTGTGTGTGTGTGTGTGTGTGTGTGTTTGTGTGGTGGCTTTCAGTTGCCAAATGGGTGAAGCTGAGCTGTCTTTTTTCTGCTGTTTTCTTATATTTTTGTTTTGAACGATTTTCTCAGAAAATGCTTTTTTTTTTGACATTTCCTAAAAGTATTCCCTTTTTTTTTCATATAGTATCTCTAATTTAAAAAATCTTTTAAATACCTCTAATTTTTTTTATCCCTTTTTTTTACCAGATTTAAACTATTACGATAGTTCTATTTAGCTCGTTTATAGTATTTTTAATCATATTTATTATATTTTTATTAAGATACTAAAATATTATAAAGGTTATTGAAAAAAACTCTGTATGATACCATATTTTTAGGTTTTAAGTTTGTAGTTGGTCTGGTTGATATTAGAAGTTTATTTAGATCATTTACAGTTTTTCCGAGTAGGTCATATAATGTTTTTATTATTATAGCTAAAACATCATAACAAGTTAATTTTTTTTATTTATATGGTGTTGTTTTGATTCTTCTATTTAACTCATTTACAATGTCTTCAAGTTGGCTCAGTAGTATTTTTTGTTGTGGTGGCTAAAATATTATAATAGACCAAAATACTATAATAAACAAATTTTTTTTTGGAATTGTTTGGGTATCTTATAAATTAGGAACATCATTTGAAATAAAAATCAAAATGGGAGTATTGATTGGGAAATACCCAAAATATGAGTATTTTTCTTTAAAAAATCATCTTTTATTTTTTTAAAAAAAATATTATAAATATATGGATGAATTTTTAGAAAAAGCTCTAAAATTTTAGAGTTTCTAGCAAAGCAATCAAATATGAAAAGATCATTTTGCTCTTAGCAAGTTTAAAAAATTACTCATTTATGTTAGACCCATCATCATCTCTACCTTACACTGTTGCTTGTAACCCTCGTGCAAGGATTGCCACCGCTTCTGTTGACTTCGTTAGCCCCTCCTCTACAAGGTTTGCTCATAACCTTGTGCGAGAAAGGATGCGGTGTAAGTGTCACTATCGCTCACAACCCTCACGAGGAACTTGTCGCACATAGTTATTGTTATGCTACCCACAATCTTCACACAAGGGTTTGCTATTATTGCTTGTAACACTAAACCTAGCCACCCATGTAGGACCACCCCTCATTTGCCTTATGGTAAGCCCTCGTCGAACTCTATCATCACCTCATGCACATACAAAGGCAATGCAGAGCATGCATGAGGTGATCGATAAGTGGTGCAAGGTGTTAATGGGTCTTGTAGAGGTTAGGGGAAAAATTATTATTTACGAAAAAAAATGCTATGTGAGAATTTTTTAAAATTGGAGTGCTCTAGATAAATTCTCATATTTAGATTTTTTTTTCTCGACAATTCATCCTATAATTTTTATGAAAAAATTATTAACTAAGATATTCGTGTCATTTTAATGGGTCATAGATCCGTGCAGATTGAAAAAATTATCTAAAAGTAATGTCTACTTTCTCACATAGCCTATGGTGGAACCAATTATATAAAACAATAATAAAATAATATTTTATGTATGGATCAAATTTATCATTAATAATATTAATATATTTTAAATTTTAGTGGCTTATATAAAATTAGTATTTATATTTTTAAAAATAATATATTTTATCATATGGAAATAGTGGGGAATTTATGGAACTATTTTTGATCTTGAAGTTCTAATTATTTTATCAGATCTAAGTAAGTACTCACCCTTAATAATAATTGATCTTGAATATCAATTATTTTAGAATCAAATCACTTATCTTATTATTTATTAATATTATAGCTACAAACACTGTAGTTTGAAAATTCCCTTCGTTGAATTGGCCCTTTTTCTTCCTCAATTTATATCTCATCATGAAATTAACATCTCTTTTGAGTGATTATGAAAGAAATCAATATCTTGTAACCTTACTCTTTTGGATGCAATTATTCTCATGTATACATTTATATTTGATCAAGCGTTGTTTTCCCCTTCATCATTTTAAACAAACCTCAGTGTCATCTTTATCCTTATCATCAATGAAATATTTACCATCATAATCTTTATTAGATAGACAATCTTCTTACCATTAAATTTAGATTATAATATATTTATAATTTAAATTATTAATTGCCTAAAATTTTGAAGGTAGAAAGAAACTTAAATCAATGTTAATTGAAGAGTCTACGCATGGGAAAAGAAAGAGAGCCAAATACTCCTCATAAGTTCATACAAGAACATATATCAACGAGGGTTCATAAACCATTAAAAGATAAAGATTTACTGCCGGAAATTAAATTCAGCTGACACATATTTCATCTTTCAGATTTCCCATAATTCCAGGAAGTTCATGCCGTGGAGTACAAAATATTCCACCAAAGCTGTGTGATCAAATATCTTTCTCGGACTTGAGGTAGACCAAGTTAAGAAGGATAAACCACTCAGCATTTATCTTACAGAATCTTCAACTATCATGTTTTAGAAATAACTGACATCAAAATCATCTTGAGTTGTACAACTAGGACCAATTCAGGCAGCATGATTTGTTGTTGGATCTTATGAGCACAGCAATTTCGTAAAGCAGTGATTTAGGATTTCTCAAGAATAATACACCAGTTGGACTTGTCGTAGAATTGGTCAACAATTGATGCATTATCTATGCCGGAAACCAACCTGCAAAAAAATAATGAGCAAAGATAATTTATTGTTGAGAGGACAGCACCACATGAGAAAATAACGATACAAAGGACATGAATCTAATGCACTAAAGAGAAACCACAAACACATGGAATGGAGAAAGTGACATTTAGATTTGCTTCTTCAATTATTGGCATCAGCATATGTTTCACCATATGAAAGTTTTGGCTGCAATCATTTTAGTTAAGCCATCAGGTTTTCTTTCAAATTATATATTAGAAGTACAACAAAGATCCATTTCAAGAAGTGCTTTCAGAATAGACATGCCTGAAATCATTTTAGTTAAGCTGTCAGGTTTTCTTTCAAATTGTATATTAGAAGTATGGCAAAGATCCATTTCAATGACTGCTTTCAAAAGAGACATGACTACTGTAGGGAGGACAAATGCATTTGCCTAGGACTACAAATCCATCATCTATCTTGCTTTTGATTGGGTCGGGGAATAACCAGGTTCTGAACACAATTAGTTTCTCATCAACCATAGCAAAACAGAACAATTAGATCAGCAAATTCTTCTGATTCCACAGAATTGCTGGTACAAGGTATGAAGGCATGTAATTGCCATTCGGTATATCCACTCAACAATACTTGCTGCTTAAGCTACACGAGACATCAAAATTCAGGTAGCGAGGAGAGGCTTGTACAAAGCAAATGGTAAATAAAAGATATCATATACCACCACCACCTACAACATATCACATCAAACTTTCCAACACAAATTGTACACTTAAAAAGTAATTGAAAAAGTATCAGGGTCTTGCTTTAATAATAAAGTTGCTCCAATGCAACTTGGGCTTAGTGGGGATTCAAAGAAAATTTAGGGTTTAGAAAAAGGGCTACGGGTCAGGTCAAGTCCCTAGTGGTGGTACTACCAAACCCAAGCAGTACCACCGCCAGAGACCAGGTGCATTTGTTGTTTTAGCTACCTAATTTGCTGAACATGATTCAATTTTTTTGTGTGATACCTCTCTTAAGGTTCTATAGAGAGGAGTGTTTCAAATTGTAATGTTACATAACCTTGAGAAGAAGGAAGGTGCAAGGATTTTGATCTTCAACTTTGAACAAAGATTGTTATTGAAACCCGGTGATCTCAAGAGACGAGGAATCGATAGTCGACAGGTCACAGGTCGAACCACTATAGAAGGCATGTGTATCGCTTTTCTCTGGTGTTCCTTAATTTGTATGCACTAGCTTCCTTAACTTGCAAAATGTTTCAATACACAGTTGCATTAATTCCCTCCCCCTGACATTATCAATCCCAACAAAACATGTCTTAAGTGACAGGGCCATCATAAACTTTGCTTCCCACCATAGGCGATGACACATGTATTAGTAACACTTGCATCTCACAAATGTATTAGTTAATTTATTACAATATATTTGCATATGTAACAAATGCACTATAATTTGTTGATGATCATGGAACAAGGGTTTTAAATAGAATATACAACTAGGATTAGGATCCTAGGCATTTTCCTATTCCTTGCATGAGCTTATTTTGAATCACTTGAATATGAGCGACATTATATGGAACAATTAAGGTCAATGATTTTACAGCTTATTGTGGTAGTTAGTTATGATTGACAATTCACAATCACCTTGTTGGTATCAAACTAAGGTACAAAATCATGTCTGTGAGTATATCCATTACCTTAAAAAAAAGTTTAAGATATCAGAGACAGATTCTAAAGTTGGTACATGCACCAAGATCTTGAAGATTGTATCATTAAAACATATCTTCAACTGCAAATTCAATAGACAAAAATACATAAAAAATCTCAAAGAACCTCAATCTCAATGCAACATTATGGTGAAAATATGTTCCTAAATAGCATAAACATGAGATTTGTGATAGTTATGATGATTACATATTGTTCCTAAATAACATGGATTTTTCTTTGAGAAAAATAGAATTAAAAATTAGCATATTTATAAACAGAAAAATCTTGATTGTTGCAATCCAAAGAAGTCAAAATATTGTTGTTATCAATCAATAAATTGTGCATTTAATTTGCTATATCTATTATGCAGAGCATGCTGGATGACTACTATACTTCATCTCATTTGTTAGGAAAAAGTATTTTAGTGTTTTTCTATTCCTTTCTGCAGTTATCTCCAGATCCAAAATTATAAATCATTGTTAAATATTTCAAGCATTGCTTTTTTTTGCAGCTTGTCACGGTAGATTTAAAGAAGCACTATTTAAGCTTGCCCTGTAAATAAGTTCCTATTAAAAGTGGCATCTGACCTTTATTTCAAATTTATCTAAGGCTTTTCTCACAAACATTGATCTTTGCCAGCATACATTATAAACAAAATGGAAGAAATTGTTTTTGCATATAACTAACAGATGCAGTTTTGTAGAGAAAGTTATAGAATAACCAGCCGTTGCATGTTTTACTACTACATGGAGATAGCAAAACCGGTATATATTAGGAGTCAGATGTGCCCATAATGTTACAAACATTTCACAATAATTGGGTAAACATCAAATACATACCTTTGAAGCTCTCCTTCAACAAAAACATGGTAATAACGATTGTAAACCATAGCCCCTTTCTTATCATCTTTCTTTGCCAGCCCAGTTTCAACTGCTGAAGCCGATGCACCACTAATTTCAGCACGGTGATATGGTAAGTGCCAAGGAACAAAATATTCTTGCTGAGTCTCAGTTTGTCCACTAATGGGGTAAAGATGACTTCCTGTGGTGGCAGAAGAAATAGAAGCATCAACCATGATACTATCCATAGACTCCATTTTATCATCAGATAACTCATTGCATGTTTGTTTTGTGTCCTGACGACAACTTTCATCTAACTCAGGGATACTCTCTAACTTGTTTACTGGATTATTACGAACAGGACTGCTGGGTTTCACCCATTCTTCATCATATTTGTGAAACAGAGGAGTCCATTTAGTAAGCAGTGATTTGTCTTCTTGTTCAACAGCCCACACAGTGATCAAAACCAGTCCACCCTTTCGAACAACCCTAACTAACTCTTCTATTGCTTTTCTCCGCCTCATCTCGGTGCTTAGGTGATGCAACACAGCAATTGAAATTGCAGCATCACCAAAGTTGTTTCTGTAGGGAAGGTTAACAGCATCAGCAACCATTACATCGTGACCCCTCCTCGCACATATTTCAATTAGAGAAGGGCTTATGTCACAACCTATGTAAAAGCAATCAGGATTAAAACCAAGATATTTTCCATTCCCACAACCGGCATCAAGTATGACTGAAGCTTGCCTCAAGGAATTCAAAAAACTAGCAACTTTTGGCCACTTAGCAAATCGAGTTGAGCTGAAATGGGGAGCAATGGCATCATAAACACGATGCACATACTTCTTCTCAATGTCAGGAGTGGACTGAATGCTCAGGGAGCAGGTACTATCATCATGAGGAGATACAGGCTCTGTGGTCTCAGATGATCCATTTGCATTTGCTGATGAAAAGTTTGTAGAAGAATGAGATTCTCTCTGGCACTGTAGTGATTCTGACATACCAAAACAAGTATCACCAACTGGGGTCTCTGGATACAGTTGCAATGCTGCTCTCGAGCAGGACAAACTAGTTCGCAGACCTTGATAGTAGTTACTTGCTGAACCCACCGATCGTAGGATCATGAATCTCCACCTATCTTGCTCACTATGTCCCTACGATTACCACAACAAAGATAAGTTAACATTAGTATTCAGCAGCATGCAAACACTTCTATAAAGCAACAGTTGAGACATGAAGAAGCCACGAGCAGAGGAAGCAACGAATCCAACTAATTTTCCTTAAGCTCACAGTTCATAACTCTGCTCAAAACAAGATAGACATTTCTAACTGCAGTACATCGGGTTGCAAAAATCTGTGTGCGGGTCAAGTTTTGATCATAACAGACCATAGAATTGAAAGACCTGAACCTAGTTTGGGACACAACTGAAACAGTTTGACCCAGATTTCACCTCGTCAGCAGCTAAAGCTCGCTCTATTTCATCCAGCTTCGAAGAACTTTATCTATTGTTTCTTTGGTACAAACACTACAGTCTAACTGAATCCCGCAGTGGAAACAATAAAGTTCTTGGAAACATAAACACAAACACCCGATATGCAAGAATCAATCATTCCCACAAAGAAACAACAGCATAAGGATCTTAGAGTCACAAACACAAACATCCAACACGGAAGAATCTTTACCGTTTAGATAAATACATGGAATGCTGAACTAGATCATACAAGGACGAACACAAACATCAACGTGGCAAACAAACTGGGGTTGAAACTCATATAACCAACATCTCAAAACCACTGGCAAGAAGAGATAAGAGCGGCTGCAAAGAAAGAAAATGGGGTAGGAATCACGGCCATTACCTGGAGATCGCTAAGGAAACGGGGAGAGGTCGGGGCAGGGAAGGGGCGGCCGCCGACGCTGTAACGGACGAGGAGGAAGACACCATCGTCATGGAGGCGGGGCTCAGAAACCCGTAAATACGGTGTTATCGGGTCGGATCTACCCATAACTTGTGTCAGAAACTTCGATCCGCATTTAGAATGCTTGGCTAATTGGATCCAAAATAAGGATCCATGCGTGGGTTATCGGGTTTTGAGGTCCATCAGCACCTTATACTCGTTGAACCGAGCCGGGATCGATGATCTAAATGAACCGGGTTTAATTGGCTCGTTGACGCGCGCGCCATTTAAGAGAGTACAATATCGATGGAAAGGGCAGGGCATCATTTAAGTAGTGAAACAGGAATCAGTAGATCTAGGGTAAACGATAGCTACGTTGGTGGTGTGCGCGCGATCGATCGGGCATCAACTGGCCATTATTGCTTTTCTTCTGTCCTTGTTTTAGGTTTGGTGAAGGACACATCTCATCATTCTTTCTCCACAAATCCTTCCAATCTCGTTTCTTCTGTGTCGATACTTAAAAAGATCGGTTCTTGCAGTTGCATCTGCAGAGGAGCTTGGGTATCTGATCCGGATTTAGTGAGGTTTTCTATCTGTAATTTTTTTTTATCCTGTTAGATTTCACCCAGCCCAAATCAGGGAGAAAAACTGTGTCTTTATTTGTTTTCATCTGTGAACAGTACAAAGTTGGGATCTTTAATGGCTGATTCAGAAAAACCAGTGGTTCTGATCACTGGATGTTCGGAGGGGGGCATTGGATACGCGCTCGCACGAGCCTTCGCCTTGGAGGGGTGCTTCGTCGTCGCAACAAGCCGGTCCCTGAGCTCAATGAAGAGCCTTGAGAACGATCCGAGATTCTTCCTCCAGGAACTGGATGTCGTTTCGGAGGACAGCATCCGGAGGGTTGTGACAAACACCTTGGATAAGTTTGGTCAAATCGATGTGCTCGTCAACAATGCTGGAGTTCACTTGGTCGCACCGCTCGCTGAGGTCCCAATGTCGTCTTTTGAGCATGTCTTCAATACCAATGTCTACGGTAAATGTTCTCATTGGAAACTGGAATTTATCTTTATTTTTATGTCCTCCTTAATTCTTTTTCCTACTTTTGAAATCTAGTTTGTTCCTAGTGATGGATTGATCCAAATTGTCTGAATTGGTTCTGGTTCTATCAACTCTGTGCTGATTGCATCGAGAAATGGCAATTGGCATGCTTCTCAATGCTGCATGTCATTTTGTACAAACACTTTGAAATTCTAGCATATTATAACTCTGGGGATTCTTTGTTTTAATCTTAGTCTGTCAGAGTTACACAGTAAAGGATACAGTGATTTTAGAACAAAACCATATGTTTTTTGCACATATTTCTATTTTTCATTTGCAAACTAAATTGAGAGCATTAAGCAAACTGGATCGGCTAGATTACCTTTTTAATATAAAATGGCTTTAATCCTTTGGTGATGGCTGCTTCAGTTGATTTGCTGGCTTTGCCCAGAAAGATGCTAAATTTAGTAGCAAGACCTGCATTATGGTGTCTCTTTCATAAATCCTCATTCACGTTGCCTTATTTATCATTTTATTTATGGCTTCTCTGCAGGTCCAATGAGGCTAATTCAATTTGTAGTTCCTCAGATGGTGCTTAGGAAGAAGGGAAAAATCGTAAATATAGGAAGTATTTCTGCATTAGCCCCTGGACCATGGGCAGGAGTTTATTCAGCATCAAAAGCTGCACTTCATGCCTTGACGGACACATTAAGGTCTGAATCGTTTTGCTATGCCCATATTGGGTTGATTAGGGATAAAAAAATTAAAATTATAGTTGGATCCTTGGCCTGGGTGAAATTGCATTCGGCTGGTACATATTGGTCTGGGTGAAATTGCATCGTTGGTATAAAGTATGAATCATAAAACTAGTTGCATCCTCGGCCTCATTGTATCCATCAAATTATTTGTGAACTCTGTTGTCTTTTAAGGTAATTGTTCTCAGCTGCCATACTTATTCAACTCTTGCTATCTTTTGTTGCTTGCAGATTGGAACTTAGGACCTTTGGCATTAGCGTGATAAACGTAGCTCCTGGAGCTATCAGATCGAACTTTGGAAAATCTTCAACAGCCAGCTATGACCAAATGCCCGAATGGAAGTTCTACAAACCTTTCGAGGCTGCAATTCGTGCAAGGACAGCTTTGTCTCAGGGCCCGAAGTCGACACCAGCGGAGGAGTTTGCAAAGAGGACTGTTACTATGGTACTATCGAAGCAACCTCCTGCCTGGTTCTCTTATGGGCAACTTTCCACCATTCTAGCTATTCTGTATTACCTTCCACTGTCTATTAGAGACTACATCTATAGGTTGGCTCTCAAGTGTTGACTTGAGTATGTTCACGGCTGCTGCTGATCACTGGCATTCTCTTTCTTCTTCTGTGTTATGTCACACCAGTCATGTTCATGGTGTCCACGAACTTAGGAACAAACTGTGTTATGGCACTCTTTGTTACTCCTATGCCCTGATGAGCAAATTGGCACCAAGCCTTGTGACAGAATGCTGACCTAGTTCATGTTGAAAGATGGAATTCTCTGTTAATCTTGTTGTATTCTAACAAAGTTGAAATGTTTACTAGCACGTAATTTTTTCTGCTTAAATGTTTAAGAGAGAGAGAGAGAGAGAGAATGCTTGTGCTTGGCACTGAAAATGTAGGCTTTGTTCAATTGTAACATGCTTTGCTTGATCATAAAACACCCAAATGCTTGTGCATTGAGAATCAACATTTATATTCAAACTTAATCCCAAGGTTAATGTAGTGTTGTACATCTTTTCGGCACTTCCCAAGCTTCATACGAGCCGGAAGATGAATTCATACAAACATAAACACCTAGACAGGTAAAAGGCTCCTCATGAACCCTGTATTTTACCCATCATATGCACTTTACATGGCAATTCTTACTGAAACAAATGCAACTTCCATTGGGTATACAGAAAACCAAGTGTGTTCTTGGAGAAGATCAGAACTACACGGTACAGCATAACCAAGAAACTCTTGGCAATTTGGTTATCCTCCTGAGCAAAATATCCTGCAACGACTTGTCACCAGAAAAAGGATCCCACCTCTACAATGAGCTCATTTTGCAAAGAAAAAACATTGCACAGATCCATTAGCTGTGGTAATTACGGAATGAGTACATTGCAGAGAACTCAGAGTCCAGTCATTGTATTTGAGCATGGTAAAATGTTATGCCAGGGGTTTGCAGGGGCCTGTAACTGCGGGGTGCTGGTTGTTGAAGGGCATATTGAGGTGGCTGTTGATTTATCAGCATGGGCTGGTTCATGTTCAGTAGTGGTGGTGGTGGTGGTGCTGCTGCTGCTGCTGGTTGTTGAATCAAAGCCATGGGCTGTTGCTGCTGAACCAAAGGTGATGATGACCTTGCCAGATTTATTACCTGAGGTATAGGTGGTGGCGGTGGAGGTAGGGTGCTGAAGGTGTAAGGCAATCCAATCATTACACCTCCTGAAGGCTGCAGGTACTGTTGTGTTGAAACCGGGTACATGTTGTATTGTGTCTGGGTTGCCGAAGCCTGGCTTTGTACAGGACTCTGCCGCACCAAAACAGCTTGAGGCTGATGCGGCGTCGAAACAACAATCTGCTGAACAGGTACGAAGGCAGTGGTGGTGGTGGTGTCAGAAATTGGCAAGGGCTTCTCAGATATCATCCGCCTATCTGATGTGGCTATGGGAAGAGAATTAGATGGATTAGTTGATGTAGCCAAACCAGCATTCTTGGCCTCCTCTGCAGCAAAGGTGGAAAGAACTGAGGTCATGATTTGCTGGGAATGAGTGGAAGCTGTAAGCTTATCGGCAACCTCAGCGGCAATTGCAGCAGCAGTCTTCTCTGAGATCTTGGCTGGGGGACCAATTGAATCTGGCTTTGGTGATTCCGGTGCAGATAGTGGTTTATTCGGCATCACAATTGGCTCATTGTTGAGCCTCTTCCGCATGTTGACAGCCTCCTCAACCATGGCCTCAGCCAGCTGCCATGGGACAACTCTTTTCATCAGAAAGAAAAGGGAAGTTAAAATTGCAAGTATACAAGAGTGGAAGCATGTACAATAACATTGCTACAACAGGTTCCAATGAATAAGTATTCTTGCTAGATATAGACCACACAGTGCACCATTTAAACAAGACCATTGAGTAAAACAAGATTACATTTTCATTTCCTCTCCGAGGGATTCAAAGTTAAACAGATTACACACCTGTAGCTGAGTACGAACATTCTCCAAGTTGGATTCCTGAACAAATCCACAAAAAATAACCACAAACAAAATTTAAAAGCAGGTCCCTTTTTCAATAGACATGAATGAATAAGAAAATTCCACCTAAATACTCAGACCTGTTCCTGCAGTGCTTCCTTTAAGTGAAACACGAGAACTGCACGATTTGATTCAATTAACTTAAGCTTCTCAACACACTCCTTCAGTGTTGCTTCTTCATCCTGTAGCTCATTAGCCAATGATCCCCTGCGAGGATCCCCATCTGAAGAAAAAAAGAGTCATAAAAAAAACAAAACATTATGAAGTAACTGTGCAGGTACAAAAGAGAAATTTTGCCATGCATGACACTGGCAATTATTTACCATGCTTACAGACACTTTCTACATCCTTTTCCAATTGTGCTGCATGCATGACAGCAGCTTTGCATTTGTTCAAGTCCGACTCCTCTTTGGCGTGCTCACTGAGCACATTGTGCAGTGCAGATATAATTTTTTCTGCTGTGCCTCCCATAGACAATTTCTGGTTTCCAAAGTTCAAAACAATTGTATATTTAGTCATTCCTTCTCAATTAGTTGTGTGTAAATATAACTGCTAATAAAGCAAAGTGTACAATACAAGGGACTTTGATCTTACTATCTTTACTGATCGTGAATCTCTCCTTATGATTCTGACAGAACCACGTGAGCGCTTTTTGTTCAATTCCAATGTCGGCAGAGGTTCACTTCCAAGCATCAATTCTTTCAGGCCCCGTGCACGTGACCCAAACACTCTTCTTTGGTCCCAGATGTCAACCTACAATAATCAATGGACTAGCCTGAGTAGCATTTTTTCAATTGATAATATTAAATTACTGCAATTCCTCTAATAACACAAAAATTCATGATATTGGCTCATATTCTAGGCATTAAACCTTTGATTAGTTTATAAATAAGGTCCACTACAGGCCCCAAGTTATACATTTTATTAGATATTACAAGAACGTGAAATTCAATTCCATAAAGTTCTGACGTTACAAGTTTACATAAAAAAACACATGCCATACACTTAGTTCAGTTTCAGGCTACTGCTATATCACAAGGACAGGATATCAAATGGTCAAGCTAGGAAGTATATTCAACTGCTGAAGTTTCAGCATCAAGCTTCATGGCAAAGCTCTAAAAAGCACTTTCTTTCATGCAGTAAAAGAAAGAGTGTGTTTTTTAGAAGCCCACATAGACTATTAAGTGGTCGACATTTAGATGCTTGACCACCTATACAAATGCATGTACCTAGATGTAATCAAAATGCATGAATGGCTGGAACCAAGAAGGACAAGTAGGCACATGCAGACAATGGATTAATTGAATGCATCACTAGCAGAGATGGGAGTAGATGGTAACAGACTAGAAAGTTGGCTATAAAGGATATTATCGTATTATCGAATATACAGACAACTGGAGGAAGTCAAAGGGAAAGGAATGCATCATGTGGAAGATTTTACGCATACTCATTCAGGTGTTCCCTTTTTTACTGCCATGAAGTCAGCTAGTAATGCTCACAAGATTCAGGGCATCACACATGATTTTGCAAATAAATATAATGGAAGATTGCATATTATCAAGGAAAGAATTTTTATTTTAAAGATTTGTCATGCAAATGTAAGAAAACCTTGAAAGTCAAAATTGAAGTAAGTGTTTAACTAAAGCACACCAGTCTGGAGACGACATTCTTTCCATGTTCATCACCATTTTCAAAAACATCCTTAAGTGCTGCTGGAAGAACCTTCCAAAATTCACTGACAAACTCAGTTCCAGTACGCTTGCTGTTCTGTAAAATGTCATTGGCAAGATAAAGAAAAGGAACCTTCTGTTCCCTTTGTGAACTATGGAATTGCTTATCCCAAGTTTGGATAACCTGTTCTGCATGCTTTCGGTGGAAAATACACCAATGCGACAGGGCTATTGACAAAAAAAGTTAAGGTATCTCATTGACTTGCAGCAATCACTAACCAAACAGAAGAATAAGACCGACAAGAAATAACCAAACAACATGAGCAGAAAGAAAAGACACATTTCATCACAGTAAGTACAACTTTGTACCAGACATAAAATGAAAGATTTTAGCCTGTATATACCTTGTTTACCCTCATAAGTAGTTTGAAATTTTGAAATATCCAGAACCCAAGCTCTGTGCACTCCCCCAAACAAAAATACAAAACAAAAAGAAAGAAAAACATAAAAACATACATATCAAAAATAGTTATAGAAAATACAGCCTATATATTTAATCCCAGTACACGACAAGTGTAAGAAGTTTTTAATTGTTTTCTTGTTAGGCACCTTTAAAATGTCATGTTCTGTTTTAGCCTATTTTGACTAGAGAGGGAACATGGCTTGCTTTGAAAGCAGTGTTGCAAATAAGGAACTCATGGTCCTAAAGAACAATATAATCATTTAACTATGACAACAGGCTTCTACTATAATGGACGAGAAAAAAAAAATGTTAAACAAGAAGATAAATGATGCAAAATGTTTATGAAGTGAAGTAGATAAAAAAAACCAACTCAAAGAAACTTCATAGTTAGGGAACGATGTGGCTCAAGGAGATGTTTAACTCTCTTCAGTATGTAAAGCATGAAATTATATTTCAGTTGATAGGAATCATATTATTATAACTAAAGACAATATTACAGTTCAAAATCCAAGAGATATTACTGACTAAAAGAAGTTATCATTTGATCACATTTGCCAGTTCTAATAAATAATTGAGTGCATAAAAGGAAGTACAGACATCATGAAGCATTCACAAACAGACTATACAAGCAAGTTTGCTTAATACTCAACGAGGATGTGCTAAATTCCCTGGATTTACTATAGAAAAACATAACCAACAATAAAAAGCAAAAACCAATAGCAGGCAAAGAACAAGACAACACGATGTTCCAACACTTCATTGGCCTACTTAAGATAACTAACATGGCCTTAAAAGACAGTTATCTAGGTCGAAGGACAAGTCGAGCTGGAATAGTATTCATCCTGATTAAATAATGCAATTCCAGATAATCATCCTTAAGAGTGTTCAAGAGATAAAACTATTTTTGTAGGATTACTAACCATGCATTATCCCTGATCTTTCACCAACACAAAGTATAGAGATCAATATTGCTAATCGACTCATCAACTTTGATAGTTCATGGTTAAGTCTATCGTCATAGTTAATCTTATTTTCATTGAATTGTAGAATTAGAACTTCTTCATTCTCTCTTCATTATTAAAATAAGATCGTACTATTGAGAACTAAGAAAAATTAAGAAGCCAAAGAAGAAAATTTTAAGTAGGTCCTTGAAAATATAGCTAATATATAACATGCACCTCTTTATGATCCTCT